CTAGCGCCGCCGCTCCCCGCTCGGGCCCAGGCCGGGGAAGCGGGCGGAGCCTCGAGGGGCCGCAGGTGGCTCCGCCCGGGGGCGGCGCCGGCGGGGAAGGGTGAGGGACAAGCGACCCCGGGCCCGGGCCACGTGAACGCCTCGCTGACCCCTCTGGGCAGCCCGCAGTGACAGCGAAACTGACAACAGCCTTCTGGAGTCCTTTGGGTCAGGCCCACTTCTATCTCGCGTTATCACCACCATGAAACTGAGTCCCGGAGCACACTGTACTTGCCATCAGTTGAGTTTCTCCCTGGACTCCCTTACCCCGGGCCTCCAGAGCGCGGCGTCCAGTAGTCACCCTGGGTGAACTCGGGGATCCACCTTGGATTCAAGTACAGCTCTGCCATCTACTAGCTGTGCAGCCCTGGCACATTACTGACCCTTCCCCTGGCTCTGGAAAATAGGGAGAACCTCATAGCGTGTTGGAATGATTAAAAATGCTATGTTACTTCTTATAAGTATTCATTGCATTATTTTATGTGATAGTGAAAAATAACTTAAGTAGCCATGATAGGGGCCTGGTTAAATAAACAAATGCACAGCCCTGCCAAAATGCATGATGCAGATCAAGGTGGACTGACAGGAAGAGATGTCCAGGATATTTCAGCAAAGAAAGCGAGTTAGAGAACTGCATCTCTGTAATCACTTTGGAAAACACAGTTGCAAAAATTTGCATTCTGCTCCTGGTAGATACCCTGAAGAATTTCTCGCACATGTATACAACAAAGTTCACAGCAGCATTGTTTGAAACAATACAAAACTGGGAACAGCTCATATATCCATCCACCGGAGAATGGAATATTTTATATTTTGGTACCCTCACAGTGTGGAATATTATAGAGCAGGGGAAAATGAATGAGCTACAATTACATGGATGGATCTTAGAGACATGGGGAGTGAAAAAGACAAGTCTTGGAAGACAAATGAAACTACACAATATATTGTTTAAGCATACAGTGGCCGGTAGGTCACCTCTCATAGCCAGGGACAGGAGATAGCTTTTGCCTGTCAGAGTGATTAAAGTTTTAAAAGCAAAAGTCAATGGGCCGGCTCCGTGGCTTAGCGGTTAAGTGCGCACGCTCTGATGCTGGCGGCCCGGGTTCGGATCCCGGGCGCGCCCCGAGGCACCACTTCTCCGTCCAACGCGAGGCCGAGTCCCACGTACAGCAACTAGAAGGATGTGAACCTATGACATGCAGCTATCTACTGGGGCTTTGGGGGGAAAAAATGAATAAATAAAATCTTTAAAAGCAAAAGTCAAGAACACAGTCATCTCTGTGGGGGAGGCAGGGATGCAGGAGAGGAGAGGAATGCAGAGGTGTGCAGTTCTAGTAATAGTCTGTCTTTAAGCGGGACATGGGTTCAAGAGGTTCATTATATTATTATGTTTTATACCTTACAAAGTATAATGTATGCTGTCATTCGTGTGTATCATAGTATTTAAAAAGAAAAGTGAAAAAAAGAGGAAAGATAAATGAAATGAAAATAAGGAGATACCTTTTGCCTAACATGGTGATTAAAGTGTTTATAGTGTTTATTTCTGGAATGATGAAATTATGGGCTGCTATTTTTCTTTTGGCTTAACTGTATTTTCCAAAAATTTTAAGATAATGGTCACATAATGTTTTTATATTTAAAAACTTATTTTTGGGGCTGGTCTGGTGGCGTAGTGGTTAAGTTTGCATGCTCTGCTTTGGCAGCTCGGGGTTCGTGAGTTCAGATCTCGGGTGCAGACCTATGCACTGCTCACCAAGCCATGCTGTGGCAGCATCCCACACACAAAATAGAGGAAGATGGGCACAGATGTTAGCTCAGCGCCAATCTTCCTCACAAAACAAAAACAAAACTGGGGGGCCCATGGCCTAGTGGTTAAGTTCTGTGCACTCCACATAGGCTGCCTGGGTTTGGTTCCAGGGCATGGACATACACCATTCATTAGCAGCCATGCTGTGGCAGTGACCCACATACAAAATAGAGGAAGATGGGCACAGATGGTAGCTCAGGGCGAATCTTCCTCAGCAAAAAATTTAAAAAGGCAATTAAAAAAATAATAAAAATATTTTTAATTCATAAAAAGTAAACTGCATATATAGCATGATTCCTTTTTTTAAAATACAACTACCTATGCCTATGTGTTTGTAAATGCAAACAAAAGGTGTCTGGAAGAATCCACTCGGGACTACTGGCAGTAGTTTCCCCTGGAGAGTGGATGTGGAGCAGGAGGAGTGGGTGCTACTTTCACTTTTTGCTTTATAAACTTCCAGGTTGTTTGCATTGGACTAATTTGGTAAGTTAATACCACTTTGTTTTTAATTGAAACAAAAGTCAGTGGCCCCCAAGGTCCAGTCTCCACACTGTGGAGACATAGCCCACCAGGCAGTGGGGAGGAGATGGCAGTGGGGGCGGCAAGTGTGGATGGGAAGCTTCCTGCCCATCTGGTGTCCCCTTCCATCTGTTTCCTGAGCCTCAGCCCCATCCCCACCCCTGGCCCTTCTCACACCTGACCCCACCCCACCCACTTGCGGACAGACAGAAACCGCTGAGCCTGTGAGCTGGGGCAGGGCAGTCACCGGGGAAGTCCAAGGAACTCCACTTCTGGCTCAGAGAAGAGAAGTCCCCTGCCCAAGTTCACTTAGCAGGCTGGAGGATGCACTAGGGGTGGGGGTGTCTTGTCCCCAGCCCTTCTCCCTGCCCCAGGCCAATGACCTGGCCTCCGCAAGTCAGAGGGTGCAGCAATGTATGTAAATATCAAATCACTGTGTTGTACACCTGAAACTAACATAATATAGTATGTCAATTATACTTCAAAAAAAGAAGAGAGTGTGGTAGCCCAGCTCTCGGACCAAATCCAGACCTGGAGGCACCCGCTCAGGCCTGCCATGTCTCCAGGCCCAGGTGACTCCAGGAGGCTCTGCTTTGGGGCTGGCTTCCCCTTCCTGGGCCCCAAAACAATAACAACCACTTCAAAAATAATAATGAAAATATGAAAAACAGCAGCTCCTGTGTGTTGGGTGCTTTCTCCTGTGCGAAGCCCTTTGCAAACATATCTCATTGAATCCTTAAAATAATCTATGATATGGGTTCTACTGTTACCCCACTTTCCAGAGGGAGAAAATGAGGCTGGAGAGTGCACAGAAGCCCGAGCTGGGATTCCCCCGGGGCCGGCCTGCTCAAAGCCCCAGGCCTGCCCCACACCCACACCAGCACCTTCACGGATGGGCCAGTCCTGGTGCCACTCCCTGAGCCTGCCTGGACCAGATCCTCCCCACCAGTTCCTCCCCCGTGGGCTGGGGGACATGGCCTCTCCTTCAGCCCTTCCTGCCCTAGGATGGGGGCCTGGTGTGGCCCCCCGCCCCCGCCACTTCTTACCCCTTAGCAATCTTTGCGCTGTTAGGACTTTTCCCTTCCACAGTCTTGGCGAGAGCCCTCAGAGAACTCACCTGCTACCCCAGCTCCCAATTTACAGAGACTGAAACCAAGGCCCATAGAGGGGACAGGACTTGCCCAAGACTCCCCACTGGGTCCCAGGCAGAGCCAGGGTGGGAGCCAGGCCTGGGGACTCCAGCGTCTCTCCCTCTGGGCAGAGAAGGAGCCCCCGGAGGGAGTGGCCTCTGGAAGGGACGCCAGCCAGAATCGCTGGCAGGTGAGGACCTGCACATGGTGGCTGCTCCACAACCACATGTTCCCAAGGCCTGGGCACTGGGTCTGGGACCAGGAAGTACCTGGTTCTTCACAAACAGAGTATGGAGTAGTCAGGCTGGCCCCCGGGCCCACGGGTACCTGGAAGAACCCACATTCCTTTGCTCACCTGGCTAGATGAGGTTTGAGTGTGAGTCCCTGGCCCAACCCCAAGATCCTTCTGAGAGGAGAGGCCCCTTAAGATACCTCCAGGCTGTGAGGCTCACCTGGCTTGCCATCGTCCTCAGGAGAAAGTAAGCGGGTCCCCAGGAGGGGACAACAGAGCCAGGGTGTGGACAGGAAAAGAGGCCCAGAGAGGGACTACACACCAAGACCCCCCATACACACTCCCCAGGGCTGGGAGGAGGCTCCGGTCCCCCACTTAGCTCCCAGCAGCTGCGGGAACTGAGGTAGCAGAGGAGAGGGGTCCTCAGAGAGCCTTCAGCAGGCCCCAAACCAGTCACCAGACCAGCCAGGGGTCAACGTCATCGCCTGGAGGAAGTGACTGGTGGATTGCTACTGCCCAGTCACCACCCGGAAAGACACACTACGTGGGCCAGCCCAACAATACACACCTCACCCAGGGGCAGGGCCAGGACAGAGGTGACTGTGCACTGGGCCCAATGGCAGGGCCAGCATCTGCGTCAGGTGGGAGATGAAGCAGGAGGAGGCAGCAACCTCCTGGCAAGGGGCTGAGTTCAAATCCCATCAGGGCCTGCTGGGAGCAGGGAGACAGCCGATCTCACATATCAAGTGCTCGCCCTGGCAACAGGCACTTGACAGGTGCCATCTGTCTGAATTCATACAATCCTGTAAGGTAGGAACTACTTCAATACCTTTTTTTAATGTTAGTGCCGTCGAGTTGATTTCAATTCCTAGCGACCCTGTGGACGGCAGAGCAGACCCCTGCCCGCTCCTTTTGCGCCACCCTCTCACCTTCCGGGCTGTATCAGACAATGCTCCGCTGCTATTCACAGGGTTTTCATGGCCAAGTTTTCTGGAAGTGGGTGGCCACTACGTCCTTCTTCCTAGTCTGGAAGCTCTGCTGAAACCTGTCCACCATGGGTGACCCTGCCGGTATTTGAAATACCACTGGCATAGCTTTCAGCATCACGGCAACACGCAGCCGCCACAGTGTGACAACCAACAGATGGATTGGGTGGGGTGAGGTGCTTCCCTAACCTGGAAACGAACCCGGGCCGTGGCAGTGAGAGCACACAATCTTAACCGCTAGAACCCCAGGGCTGACTTTTACAGATGAAGAAACTGAGGCCTGGAGAAAAACACTAGTCTCCAGGGTCCCACAGCAGGAAGTGGAGCCAGAATGAGGCCAGGTCTGACTCCAAGCCCTCCCTTGGAGCCCAGAAGTTCCCCACCAACCTCCTGCCTGCCAGGTCACACTCCACCTTTTTTTTGTGTGTGTGTGTGAGGAAGATCAGCCCTGAGCTAACATCTGATGCCAATCCTCCTCTTTTTTTCGCTGAGGAAGACTGGCCCTGAGCTAACATCCGTGCCCATCTTCCTCTACTTTATGTGGGACGCCGCCATAGCATGGCACGACAAGCAGTGCGTCGGTGCACACCCAGGATCCGAACTGGCGAACCCCGGGCCGCTGCAGCGGAGTGCGTGCACTTAACCGCTTGCACCACCCGGCCGGCCCCTCACATCCCACGCTTACCTCTGCCTAACACCTGCCCAGACACTGGCCACTGCCAGGCCAGCAGCTGTGGTTCGGCTGCCAGCATGCTCCCTCCTACCGCAGTGCTCCCGGCTTCCCCAGCTCAGGGCCCTCCCCCCTCCTCCCACACTTGCAGAGCCTTCTGGGCCCGCCTGGCACTGGGTAGGGGGAGGCAGGGCACAGGAGGCAATGCTGTGGGCCGGGTGCCAGGCCTCCAGCCTCTCCTGAGAAGGCTGGGGCAGGAGGGGGAGCGTGCCAGGTCACTCAGACTCCCCGCCAAGACCGGCTACATAATTTGTGGGGTCCAGTGCAAAATAAAAACTCCTTGATAAAAAAAACTAGTAAGAATTTCCAGTGGGCAACAGCAGAGCATTAAGCTAAGCAGAGGGCCCCGGGCAACTGCACAGGTCATACGCCCATGAAGGGGGCCCTGACCCTTGGAGCCGGAAGCTCAAACCCCAGGTCTCCATCCCAGCTGAGAGCCTGAGGTCCTCCATTAGTCTCCTGGTATCCAGATGAAAGAAGGAAGGTGGGAGAGAGGGGAGGAAAGAGAGAGGAAGGAAAGAAGGAAGGAGGGAGGGAGGGATGGTGAAGTCCCCTGGTGTAGGCCCTGAGGCTCAGGCTCAGCTCTTAGACCTTGGACTGCATCCTGGCTCATCTGTAAAATAGGCCCACACTGGCCCCCCTCCCAGGGTGACTGCACGCCCTTGCTACCTGTTTGCTGGTGGGTCTGCTTTTCCCACTTTACAGGTGAGGAAACTGAAGCTCAGAGCCTGGGAACCACCCTCCCCTTCCCTTCTTGCAGTGTAATGAAATCCAGAGCTAACAGGGAATTAACTGGCAAAGTCCTTGGAATCAGACCACAGACCAGGGAGGTGACACGGGGTGGAGGAATTTCCTTCCCACCCCGAGTCGTTTCCTCCCTGGCCCCAGATTCCCCTCCCACTGGGTACAGGGTGGTGGTCGCTCCCATGGAAACCTCTGAGTTGGGCATTTCCTGGGCCGAGTGCAGCCAGGGGCCAGACTCCCTGACCTGGTGGGGAATAGGGTAGGCTCTTGGGAAAGAAACACGCAGGCAGATTAAATGGCCAGAAGCCCAGCCAGCTGTGGGTCTGGGGAGGGACCCCAGGACTCAGCCTGCCCTCAAATCAACAGTTTATGGGTTTGTGTCAGGGAGAGGAGCCCCAATCCCCACCCTCAGACATGTGACCACACTTGAGATAGGCTTCCAGAAAACACGTTTACCCGTACACTCCAGAGGTGGCCCTGGCAGTCACAGTACAAAGACTCCTTCGCCTAACAAACCCCAAGCTCTAGGTTGCCCTGAGCGGACAACCAGCCCAGGAAGTGTGGCACCAAAGGCGGGTGGCGGCGGGGAGGGGTATGGAGAGGGAGGACGAGGGCTGGTGCAAGGTCGAAGGTCATGATGCTGGTGAGTCGCGGGCCATCAGCCCCAGGGGCAAAGGCCACTGGACAGACCCAGAAGTGGGATGAACCCCAAAATGAAGATTCAATTACTGAGGGAGAGGGGGTGGGGAGGAGGGTATAAAGGTCGTCAAGGCCTCCCTCTTCTCCCCGCTAAGTCCGGAGGCCTGCGATGGCTCCAAGTGTCCCCAGGGTTGGGCAGGAAGGGACGCAGGTCCACGTGGCATGTGGCAGGATCCATAAATTAAATGTTTTTGGTGGAGTGTGGATGGAACGGAGGCCCCGTGAAGGCATTGTGGCCGGCTGGGTGGTGGTGCTACTGGGTCCTCCAGGACGGGTGGGCGAACACGATGGGCCTCTGCTTGGCCCAGCGGGAGAACACGGCCTTCTCAGTGATGAAGCGGTGGGCGCTGCGGGGCGCCCGCTCGTGTGCCAGGTACATCTGACACTCGTCCAGCCGACCCTTCTCGAAGTAGTGGTAAGGCACCGACGGGTGGCTCTCCTCCCTGCGAAGGGGAACAGGGACAGGTGTGGGGCACCAGAACTTGCCCGCCTCCCGCCAGACCCTGCCCCCCTCATCAGGTACGACGGGCCCACGGAGCCCATGCCTGGTCCCAGCGTAGGCCAGGACAGACGGGAGGAGCAGGGCAGGCTGCAGATCCCAAAGGCCAAGCTTTGAGCCCTGATTCCGCCTCTGGCAAGCCAGTTGACTCTAGGCCAGAGATGGACCCCATGAGCCTCTAACCCATCTGCAAAATGGGGTTGGTGAGATCCACCTTCTAGGCTGAGTCCTTAGGTCAAAAAAGATGAAGACTGCACAGCACCTTGCTGGTGGTGGGCTCACAGTGAGGGATCCTCATTCCCCGTGGTACAGGGCTGCCAGCCCTGCATGCCCACCTACTCATTGGCACTGTGCACGCTGGAGGCCTGGCCAGGTGCCATGGCAGAGGGCACACTGGTTCCTGCCATCTCACCCATGTGCTCAACAAACAGCTTCCAAAAAGAACAGAGGGTGAAGATGTGGGACCCTTTCTGAACTTGTTACAATACTATTGAAATATAATAATATCAAAAGGAAATGTAATACATCACTGACACATATATCAGCCCCAGTGTTGTGGTAACCACTTGGGAGATTATTCTCTCTAAATGTTTCCACAATCTTCTGAGGAAGGTATGTTATTTTCTTTACACACGAGGACATGGAGGCCCTGGGAGGCGGTGTGACCTGTCCAGGACCACACTGGCAGAGCGGAGGCTGAATCCTTTCTCACTGGGCACTGGGCTCGAGGGGTGTCTGTGCCCCAGCCACCCACCGGGAAGCCCACACACCCTGCGCCCCACAGCTCCTAGATCCCCTGGTGGGAGGCCTGGGCAGGGAGCCCACAGTCCTTCCGGCCTCCCCAGGTCCCCTCCTGCCCAGGGCCGGGCTGGCCTGACCTGCAGTAGCTGTCGCTGACCATCCCGTAGACCACGATCTCCTCGCAGAGCTCCAGGGCGAGGATCATGGTGAACCAGCCAGTGCTGAGAAAGGAGCCTGACTGTCTCCTGGCAGGGAGGGGAAACGCAGTCAGCTGGGCCGCTGCCCCCACTCAACCTGGAGCAAGGGGCTGTGCGGTAGCCTCAGCCTCAGCTCTCTCAAGGCAGAGCACTGGTTACCCTCCCAGCCGAGGGGCCCTCACCTGGACCCCTAGAGAGGGGGCCCTGAGGGAGGGTGGGGAGCGGACAGAGCCAGCCCACGGTCAGCTGTGGGCAAGAGGTGGGGCTGGATGCAAACCCAGGTCTGTTCAACACCCTACCACCCACGCAGGGCTTGAGCAAACCCCCCGGGTGATGGCATGGGGCCCTGGCCACATCTTCTCCGGATCTAAGGGACCTAGCTTGGGGAGACAGTGGTTGAAAGTGGGGAAGAGAGCTATCTGGAGTCCAGTGGTCTTTGATTCGAACCCTGAATCTGCTCTGGGGTATCAGGTTTGCTCATGAACCTCTCTGAGCCTCAGTGACCCATCTGTGAAATGGGGATAATTGTAGGTGGTTATGGGGAAGGAACACTGTCAGCCCAGCACCCCCATGCCCCACACCCAACCTGGAGCAAGGGACTGTGTGGCCACCCCAGGCCTCAACGCTCTCAAAGCACTAGCACTGGTTACTCTCCCAGCTGAGGGCCAGTCACCTCCACCTCTATACAGGGGTTATGGGGTGGTTCATTCATTCAAACCGAGCCCCTCCCAGGCCCTGTGCTGGCCAGGAACCCACCACACCCAGGAACACCAGTTCTTAAGGAAGGGCACAGCTGAGAACACAGGAAACAAAAGGAATGGGATAAAGACTGTCAGGGGGGAGGTGCTCCTTCAGATGGGGTGGTCAGGGAGGGATTCTCTGAGGTGACATTCTATCCAGACCTCAACGGCAAGAAGGAGTCAGTCATGGGGCGATTTGGGGGCAGAACTCTCCAGGCGGAAGGAATGCCATGTGTGAAGGCCTGCAGGTGAGAACCAGTGTGGATGACTGAGGAAGCCCCGACAGCCAGTGTGGCTGCAGGAGGGTGAGTGAAGGGAGGCTAGGTCACAGAGGCAGGCAGGGGCCAGATCATACAAGGCTTGCCGGCCAGGTAAGGGGAGGAGGTGTGAGTCTGGACTTTATTCTCCATGTGAAGTGAAGCTGCTGGAGGGTTGAGGGCAGGCAACTGATGGGATGAATTCACTGGGGCGACTGGCGCTCAGACTGTGGGGGGGTGAGGGTGGCAGTGAGGGGTGGCACAAGGGTGGCGGAGGATGGTGGCTTCGGTCAAGGTGGCACCCGTGAGCAGAGAAGAAGATTCAAGAGCCCATAATATGTGGTAGGTAATGGAACGAGGGGAGTTGGGGGCAAAGCCCAAGTGCTTGGCTGGGAAAACTGGAGGCTGGCGGCTGTTTCTGGAGCTGGGGAGGTTGGGGGGGAGCCGGCGTGCGGAGGAGGAGGAGGCCGGCAGGAGTTGGAGTGCTCTCTTGGGTGTGGGATGAGATCTTGAATGCAGAGTGCTTAACCCAGTGCCTGGTGCATGAAGAGGGCTGTTAGTACTATAATTGTGACCTTTATTACCTGGAAGGGATGTCAGAGACCAGTTCAGATCTCAAAGCACCCCCTCCAGAGGGAAGAGCTCCCTGACACGGCCCCACGCTGGGCAGTGCTCCCCATCCTGTGCTCCCAAGGCCGAATGCCCCTCACCACCATTTGGGACACCTGATCTATGTGACGATCTGATGAAGGACAGGCCCTCTGATTCCTGCCCCCCAGTGGAGGGCAGGACCAGTCTGCTTCCATCACTGCTGACCGCCAGCGCCTGATGAGGCAGACCAGCGATGGATAAGAAGCTCCTCAAGAAGGCAGCCCCAGGCTCACCGGTTCTTGCCCGTCTCGTCCTGGAAGACCTGGTCGCAGTACGCCATCATGCGCTCGGTGAAGGTGAACACCTGCAGGCCCGGGTACATCTGGGTGAGCTGCAGCAGCATGCGGTAGGTGCGGCCACCGAGCGCCCGGTCCATGTGCCTGCCCTGGCCCCACACCACGTAGAGCGTGTCGCGGGCCTGCTGGAAGTAGTGTGAGTAGTTGCGCAGCAGCAGTGGCACGCTTGTGTGCGAGATCACGCGCAGGGTGCTGCGCCGGCCCACGTCTGCCTCAAAGCCCACAGTGGGCGCCTGGTTCATGCGCAGCACGCACTCAGCACCATCAATCTCAGCGCCCAGGCCCGAGCCCAGCATCTGGCCGGAGCTGGACACCACGGCACAGCTGCGGCACGGTTCTCGGACTAGCGGCTGCAGGGGGAGGGAGATAGGGAGAGAAAGGCATGGGCACAAAGCTTCCAGCCCCTGCTCCTCCACCCAATACCACCTACTGACCCCTCATGACCCCTATATCAGCTCCAAGTACTTTATCAACCCATTTTGCAGATAAGGAAACTAAGGTTCGGCAGGTGGAGTGACTTTCCCAAGGTTATACGGAGAGCAAGTGGCAGAGCTAAGATTCTGTGTTCAGAGCCCCGTGCTTCCTCATCAGCCATATCCGTGGCCCTTGTCCCTGTTGCTGAGGACCTAAAAGGCCCTACCTCATGGGTTCCTTATTCGGTTCCATGAGCAAATATTTACAAAGCACTTACAGCAGCACCTGGCAAAGACCAGGTGTCATAAATGTGTTTGTTAAGTAATCATGAACCTCAGCTCTTCAGAATCACTCCCTCCTCTGCCCCAGCCCCACTCACGTTGTGAGTGGAGGTTGTGCCCAATCTACAAGTAAAAGCAGAGTCTTTAGTGCCCAGGACAGGGCTGGGAACCTCTGGTCCTGAGCCTGAATCCTGGCGCTGCCCCTTCCTAGCTGTGTGGCCTTAGGCAGGTCACTTTGCCTCTCTGAGCCTCAATTCCCTCATCTGTACAATGGGGATGAAAACAGTATCTACTTGACCAGGTTGTGAGGATTCAATTAAAAATGCCAGGAGAGTGATGGGCACAGACCTAGGGCACAGTGAGGGCCCAACTCCCATCTCCTTGTCCCCCAAGAGGCGGAAGCTCAGCCAAAAAGCCTGCAAATCTTCACTGGGAGTCAGGGGCCAAGGCTCCCAGAAAAGGACTTGCTCCCCACCCCATGCCTCTGAGCCCTCCTGGGGGAGGCCTGTAAAGGATGTGGGAACATTAATTCCAATCAATAAAAGACACACTGTCGTACCCCACTCAGGGACATTTTTATCTGACATAATCTTGATTTAAGGACTCGTAGGCTCATTTTCCACACCCCAGCAATGAAAAACAAGACTTCCTTATTCTGCCCTCAGTGTGAGCCTCTCCTGACACCTGGAGTCTGTTCAGATCCGAGGTCGCCGCTGGCCCCAGGAGGTGTTCTGCTTGTCCCGCACAAGGTCTTTAAAATATTTAATGAATCCCTAGTTTATTAAATCAGTCCTTTTGACATTGAAAACTTGGATCTCCCACTTTTCTTAAAAAGAAAACAGAGGATCTGGCCACCCTGGGCCCATGTCCTCTGAGTGTCTGAAATGAACACTGGCCACCAGCACGGAAGACGGAATAGGATCCACCCTGCCCACCCCGCCCTTTGTCCCACCTGGCCAAACCTGGGGCCCTCAAGCTTGCTGCACTCCCCCCAGCAACAGTTGTTTCTGCATCCTGATCAAATATTTATACAGCACCTGATCTGAACACTGTCCGTGAATCATCTAGCTGGACAGAGGCAGAAACTGCATTGATCGTCTTTTACAGATGAGGAGGCAAGTGACTCAGAGGAATGAAGACTTGAAATAGGTCTTCTCCAAGCCAGGGGCCCTGAGTGCACCTCCCTCTGACCAACACGCAGAAAGCCATCCAACTCAGAACTGGGAGCTTTCTGCCTGGGTATCAACGCGGGAAGCCTTTGAGAAACCTGCCATGTGCGGCCCCTGAAATCAGGGTGATGGGTGGAAAGTGCTCTGAAGTGCACCCGGCAGAGCAAGCATGGGGAGGTGGGCGCCGTGGGGCAGGGGCCACAGCTGCCTCGTCACCCCTGGGCTCCCATGTCCCTGTGTCCCCATGAGAGAGAGCGCTCTGGGCTTGACATGACTTTTATCTGTGTCATCTTTATTCCCAGAAGTGATCAGCACAAGGCAGGACATGCCCAACACACCAAATACACACTTGTTGAATGAATGCATTGTCTGTGTAGACAGTTTAGAAATCTAAAGATGCACAGAACGCACCTATCCTCACCATGTGATGGTGTCTGTCTCCCCCACTGGACTGGGAGCTCCAGGTGGCCAGCTACCCTGTCTCACCTTTTTTATCCCCTGTACCCAGTTGAGATCAGCCAGGCAATATCTGTTGAATATTTCCTCTTAGAACTTGGGGCTCAGAGAGGACAAGTGACTGGTCAACATCACACAGCTGGTGAGCAGAGTAGCCAAGCCGGGGGTCCAGGTTGGCCTGGCATGAGCCCAGTTCTTACTACCTGTCACAGAGTTGGGGGGGGCAGGCTGGCAGTCTTGGCTGAACCTGCCCTTGACATGTTGCTCAGAAGACTCACCTTCCCATCTGGCACGCTGCTATAGCCACTGAAGTGCAGGGGCCCTGGCATGGTGGGCCTGAAGTTGGTAGAGAGGTGGGGGTCCAGGCAGGAGGCCAGGCAGAACGGCAGGCAGGCCCAGCAGCACAGAAGGATGTAGACGGCGGAGAAGCCCAAGGAGCACAGGATGACAAGCAGGAGCCGGCCCTGGGGGAGACAGCGGTCATGGGGTGGGGGTGGGGGTGCCTGAGGCTCCTAGAGGCTTCGCAGCGGGGGCTGCACCCCAGCCTCATGGGCTCAGGGCATGGGAGGCCCTGGAGATAAGGAAACCAATTTGGAGCGAAGTGTGTAGCTCAAGGCCACCTGATAAGAGAGCAGTATGGTGGGGCTTCACGTTCATAACCAGAAGCCTGGGTGCACTGTGCAGCCTTGGCTAGGACTCTCCACCTCTCTGGGCCCGTCTGCTCCTCCCGATAACACCCGCAGTGCGAGCTTACTGTGAGGACAGTGGTCAAAGTGCTCTGTATACTGTAAAGAGCTGTGCACATGAAGACAGGAGAGTGACCCATCAGAAGGGCAACCAGCCCCCTTCAGACCCTGGACTACTGAGGCTGCCAGTATGCCCATCCCCCGTCCCCTCCCCCTGCTGACTCAGTGGCCATCCTCCTGGCTAACGATCACGACCTGGGTCAGCAGTTCGGGTGAGTAAAGAGGACGGCAGGAGGGGATGTGAGGGAAACATCATTCAAGAACTGGTTTCAATAATTGAAATCTGCTGCCCAGAGGCTGCCACCTCCAGAAACCAAGTGCCAAAGGCCATTGCAACCAGGAAGCCCTCCTGACCCATTGGCCTGGGCCCAACCTGTGGCTGACTCTGCTGGCAGACCTAGTGAACGCCCCCACCAAGCCTTCAAGGAGGGGCTGCCTGCTGGGGAACACAACCCGGGGCTGCTATCGTGTGCTGGACCTGGTTACCACCTGTGTCTCTCTGCCCAAGGCACAGGTCCCTGGTGCCCCTCAGAACCACCTAGCAGCTGGCTGAGGCTCTTTGAAAACGAGAAATGGGAAAGCAGCCCCCCCATCCCTCCCAGGCATATCCTGCCAGAGGCCCACACTTTTCTGCCCACAAGTGTATCAGCTTCTAAAAATAAATCTCTGTGTGGCCAGCTGTGCGGGGGAGGGGTTCTGCCCCTGAGGCCTCAGGCTCTGCCTGGCATCTGCTCCCCTGCCCACAGGGACCCAGAGACCTTGATTCAGGCAGTTGTGGTTGACTCTCTCCAACATCCAGGGCTCTCCCACAACCACAGGGCTCCTGAATAAAGTCAAGAGCAGTTGACTGAACTTGCACACCATATCCCACACCCAGGTAGGCGCCTCACCTGGGGGACCTCGGGGATGCTCACAGGAGGTAGTACTATTATCTCCATTTTACAAGGGGAGGGGCAAGGCACTGAAACCAGAGAGGGAAGGCCACTTGCCTGGGGCCACACAGTCTGCCAGATCAGGGCTGGACTTTGAGGCCAGTATGCCCTTCTCGTCAGCTCAGGAGCAGTGGGGGCAGAAGTGACAGTCAGTTGTGGGGTGGAAGAGGCTACTGAGACTGCTGTGCCTGAAGCCACCTCTAAATCCCCAGCGAGCCTTCCTCCTTCCGCTACTTACCGGAGCCTTCATGCTGTCGCTGCTGCTCAGCAGCCAGGGGGCTGCTGTCTCCAGGGCTCGGGCTGAGAAGGGGCGGGAGCCGGGAACCTGCCAAGACCCAGAAACTCAGAGCTGGGTCCCAGGCCTCCGAGGAAACTGCTCAGGGAAACTGAGGCAGGGGAGGGTACAAGCCGGGGTCAAGGCAGATGGCTTCTGGGAATCAAACACCTTAAAGTCCCCAAACATCGGGCAGCACTATCCCCATCCTAAAGGAGCTGGAATGGTGACCTCTGGGAAATCTCCCACCAATCCAACCCCCATTGCGCAGAGGGGGAAGGAGAGGCAGGGAGGAGAGCCCTCGGCTCAAGGTCACCCATCGAGTCTGGGTCGGACAGAACCAGGAGCGCTGACTCCCACCGCATCCCTCCTACCTCACTGCCCGCGGGACGAATGGAGAGGCCTGGGGCGGGAGGGGACCGGGGATTTCCACCCCTCTCCCAGATTCCACCGCCCCCTCCCCGGACGCTAACCGGGCGGACAGGTTGGGGCGCGCCGGCTGCTCTCGATTCGTTGCTCGGAGCTCCATGGCCCGCGGGACGGGCGGGCCGGACTGGAAGCCGGTGCCCCGGGGCGGAGACGGCGCGGCCGCCGCAGCTTCTGGAGGCGGGAAGTCGAACGTGCGCGGCCTGCGGCGGGGGCGGGGTCTGCCGGGGCGGGGAGGGGACCGGCGCGCCCGGGGCGGGCCTGCGCGGCGGGGGAGGGACGTGCGTGGCAGGAGGAGAGGCCTCGGGGTGAGGGCCGGGGGCGGGGCCTCAGCAGCCGGGGGCGGGGACTGAGAGCGAGCGTCTACCCTTTTCCGCGCTCCTACGTTTCTCCCAAGCTCCCGCGGGGGTTGGGCGGCCTGTAGAGGAAAGACCTAGGTCGGAACCACTGCGCCTGGCTGCCTGGCCGTCGGGACTTGAGTTTCTCCTTTTCTGAAATTGGGGGGTGGGTAAGAAAATTAAGCAGGGACTTGGGTGTCGGGCAGCCCTGGGTTTCAAGCTGGTAGGGTTGCCAGATTTAGCAAGTAAGATACAGGACGCGCAGTTATATTGGAATTTCAGATAACGAATAATTATATTAAAAATCTGAAATTCCAGTTTCACTGGGCGTCCTATACTTTCTCTGGCAACCCTACCTGGGCTCTCCCTGGCCGTGTGACCTTCACTCGAGCCTCAGTTTTTCTCCTCCATGAAGTGGGGTTAATAACAGCACCTACAGCCCCATAAGAGATTGTAGGGGCAGCTCATGGCAGACCCAGGCAAGATTCGAACCCTGGGCAGTCTCACTCCAGAGCTGGGGCTCTGACCACCTACTTTCACCCCCCAAATGCCCCAAAGTGTCCTCCAAATCCAAGCCAACTCAGTCCAGGGCCCCTCTGGATTGCTGAAATGTGTCCCATTGGAAGGCTCAGATGGGGTCCCTCAGGGATTTCAGACTCGGGCCAGAAAGAGTTGAAGGGGCAGATGTGGGGCAGGAGGGAGGGGTGGGTGTGGTGAAGTGAGAGCATACTTCCCCTCTAAAGGGGTTTTTTACAAAATGCTGCCTGGGCCAGAAAGGTCATCTTACCACCCACACCACACCCACCTCCCTGGCCTGGGAACCAGCCTGGGTCCCTGCTCTGGCCCCATTTCAAACTCTATTTTCCTTTCTCTCAGGGCTTCTGGTGTGGGCACACGCCAGCGTACCCATGTTGGGGCATCCACACTTGGCTCAGCAATTCTCCGAGGCTACCTTGCTCCGGGGGCAAAGCCAAGTCCCCAGGCTGGTGATCTGGTCTCCATGCCTCTCCCTATCCCATTGGGGGGCGGGGAAGGGCATTGCCCACACGGCCCTGTCCCCAGGGCCTCCTTTGAGCAGAAACCCTCCTTGTCTCCCCCACCCCAGGCTGGGCAGCCTCAAGGGTAGTGGTCCAAGTTCAGTCTGTTTCATGGGTCCCCTTTTACACCAGGCAAGGCACACGGTGGGTCCCCAAAGCCAGAGCCCTTCTGGCCTCCCCCGCGTCCTCATCCTTCACGTCTCTCTCCTCATAGACCCAGCCCCAGGGGATGATGGTGAGAAGTGCCCTGTGGATTCATCCATCACCCACAGTGGCTGGTGAGATGACAAGTCCTTGCCCGGAGGGGCAACTCCCTCCTTACTAGGGCCACATGGAGACAGGGGCATGCCCCAATGTCCCAGGCTCCCAGAGCAGATGAGGATCAAACATCCACAGTGGGATTGACACTGGAGAGTCCCGCAGCCTCGGATGTAGCTCTTCTTTTTGGTTTTAGCAAAAGCCCACTTTCCTTACCCTGACCTCAAGGCCCTGCGCAGTCTGAACTCCTGCCTACTTTTTTTTTTTTTTTTGCTGCGATTTTTTGTGTGTGTGTGAGGAGGATTGGCCCTGAGCTAATATCTGTGCCAATCTGCCTCTTTTTGCTTGAGGAAGACTGGCCCTGAGCTCACATCCGTGCCCATCCTCCTCTATTTTGTATGTGGGATGCCACCACAGCATGGTTTAATGAGCAGTGCGTAGGTCCACGCCGGGGATACGAACCTGCGAACCCCGGGCCTACGAAGCAGAGCACACCAACTTAACCACTACGCTACCGGGCCGGCCCCTCCTGCATCCTTCTTAATCACCGTCCGCCCACCCTGGCCACCCTTCCGGCCCCCAATCACATTAAGCTCATTCCTACCTCAGGACCTTTGCGCTTGCGGTATCCTCTCCCTGGACTGCTCTATTCACGTGGCTGGCTCCTTGTCATTCAACTCAAATGTCACCTCCTCAGAAAGGCCCCCTCCAAACACCCTGTCCAACACTGCACCCCCATCCCTCTAGTCCCGCCTTGATTTATCTTTGTCATAGTACTTGCCACACTCTGAAATCACCCCGTGTGTTAACTGGTTTTCTTGTTTACGGTCCACCCACCCGCTGGACTCTAAGCTCTGTGTGGGCAGTCAGGCCTTCCGAGCACCTGCACAGTGCCCGGCATACCCTGGGGGCTAGATAACGTCTGCTGAATGAGCGAGTTAGGAGAGCCAGGAGTCCTGGGCCCTGTGAGATCCTGGACGAGTCACTTCCCTCTCCGGCCTCAGGCCTCCGCTCAGCCTGTTGCCAGAGACCCAAAGGGGTGAGGCTGAGCCCTCCCCTTCTGTGAGCGCGGGACTCTGGAGCTCTGACTCAGCCCTGTCGGATCCAGAGCCCAGGGAAACAGAGGCCCAAAGCCCGGGTCCTGCCAAGCTTCCTCCCACCACAGAGTTTCCACCCCCACCCCCCTACCTATTGAGTGATGAGCTTAACACACCCTATGTGCCAACTTCCTGCTGAGCCACAAGAAATTCTCCTTGGCTTGTGCCAGCTCAGAGAGCCTGAGTAATCACCCAAGATCACCGAGACAACTAGGGGAGATGTCAATAGTCCATTTTCCAGGAACCCCACTCCAGCCCTGCAGCATAAGCCACCCCCCCCCCCCCCCCCCCCCGCTTCCCCATCAGCTATTTTTCTTCATTTTCTCTGAAGGCCAAAGAAACGGCGGTGTTTGGTGTAGCTGAGCGGCTTTCCCAAGGTCTGGGGTCATCCAGTCCTCGGGGGCAGCTCCTGGCCCACAAAGGCCCCACCACCACACTGTCCCCTCCCACTCTGAACTCCGACCACAGTGAAATGTTTCTTTCTCTCAGATGCCAGGCTCCCCTCACCCGAGACCTTTGCTGTGCCCTCGACCTGGAACCCTCCCAGGGCTGCATCGTACTCTTCTGGTCTCAGCTTAGAGGTTAGAGCCCTGCTCCCATCAGATAAGTAGCTGGGGGCCCCTTGCCGGAGCTCCGTGGCCCCATGCTCCTTCACAAGGCTGTGTCACCCCAGGTTGCTTTGTCACTGCCCCCGCCCCCAGACTGTGAGTTCTGTGAAGGTGGCATCTGTGCATCTTGCTCCACCCCCAGGTCCCCAGCGCCCGGCAGAGGGCCTGTCACATAGCAGGTGCTCAATAAATATTTAATGAGTTAATGAGGTCCACTTTCATCCTTTCCATTTTACAGATAGACCATTGAGGCACAGAGAGGTTTAGCACCTTGCCCTGGTCACACAGCCAAGCCCCAGAGAAGCACTAGAGGAAAGGCCGGCTTGGGCATGGTCCGATTGGACGGGGGTCAGAGGCCAGGCTGGAGTTTCCTGGAGGAGGGAGAAGGAATGATCAGGGGCCGTGCAGCCACTTTGCTTCTCTGCTCTGCTCCCAGTGATGTCTGTGCAGCCAGAGCCCTTGGTCTGACCACCAACCCCTGCCCCCATTTCACAGATGTGAAAAGAGACTCCCAGAGGAGGGCAGAGCTTACTCAAGACCAATAGTGGACCTCAACATAGTGACTCCCAGAGCTGAAGGACCCCCCAATACCCTACCTTCTTCCACTTGCATCCATAGAGGAGCAGGAGCAAGGGGGCCACCCCAGTTGGAGGCCAGGGGACCCTGCTTGAGTCAGGGCCAAGGGGTTGGGAGGCCAGGGTTCTCGGGCTGGCCTTGCCACTTACCCGTGCATAAGCCCCTTAAAGTCTCTGGGCCTCAGTTTTCCCATCTGGACGACAAGGGGGCTGGGCTGGAGCCTTCTGCCTCCCCCCTTCCCCAGAGCATGGGGCCGGGGCTGCAGGAGCTGGTGGGTAATAATACAGGTTCCTGACTCCAAAAGGCATAGTTGAGTCCTGGTTCCAGCTTTTATTGCTGAATGATCTCAGTCCCTTCACCCCCTGAGCCTCCATTTCATGGTCTGTAAAAAGAGAATAACAGCATTTTTTGAGGATTAAATGAGCTAATGTAGGGGAGTCCCTGGCACAACGCCGGGCACAGCATCACCATCGAAGGAGGCTGTGTTGCCATCGTATTAGTTAGGGGAGACCGCCCTCTGGAGGCGAACGGGAGGAACAGCAGGCGAGGGGAGCCCAACCCGCTGCCCGCGCCAGGCTGGAACTGGCGTTCCCGGCGTGCGCCCATTGTCCGGACGGGGAGAGCGGGCCCCGGCGCCGGTCACTCGGTGTGCGCCTCCACCCACTGGCAGAGGCGACGGGCGTAGCAAGCCGGGCTGACTGTGGAGAAGGTCCGGCCCGGGTAGCGCAGGGTCTTCCACAGGTGCTCCAGCCGCTTGCGGAGCCCGTAGACCGTGACGAGGTCCACGAGGCCCAGGAAATAGCGTTGCTCCGGCCCGTCCAGGATGTGCAGGGCGTTGGGGGCGTCGGGCAGCAGCCGGCGGTTCTGGGCTCCCGACTGCTCCGGGCTCTGGACCCCTCGCACAGACCTAGGGGCCGACAACAGGGTGAGGCTACCGCCTCCTCCAGGGGGCCCAGCCAATGGACCCTGCAAGCGTGGCCAGGCTGCCCCTGGGCGGCGCTCTGCGCTGCCCCTGCGCTTCCTTCCCTCATTCCCAAGCCTGTGCGCCAGGCCAGGCTGTGAGGGCAGATAGACTGGGAGGCTCAGTAAAGGGTAGTTAACGGTCGAGAGCTGCACTATCCGATATGTAGCCACTAGCCACATGTGGCCATTGAGCACTTGAATGTGGCCAGTCCCAACTGAGATGCACTGAAGTGTAAAATACATAGTGAATTTCCAAGACAGAATGAGAGAAAGAATGTAACATATTCATAAAGGTTTATATTGATTAGATGATGAAACGATAAAATTTTGGATGTATTGACTAAATAAAATAAATTATTGAAATTATTTTGACCTGCTTCTTTTTACTTTTTAAAAGACATTACTAGAAAATTTAAAACTGCACGTGAGGTTCCCATTGCACTTTTATCAGGTAGTGCTGGTCTAAAGCATTTGGGTCACACAGACCCTGGCTCTGCACTTATATATGCCACATCACTTTGAGTAAGTCTGGTATTTCGGTATTTTCTAAACTTCTGTTTGGGGTCGTCCAACTCTGGAAGTTTCAGAGTGGCAGAGCTGAAACCTTGTGAACAAAGTCTAACTCCATTTTGCAGATGGTGTGTGTTTTTTGCGTCAAAATGTATTCCAAATCAGAAGATGCTTTTGGCTGGGTCCCCAGTCCCAGCTGGAAGCAAGTTCAATTCCCTAACTTTGTCCTTCTGGGAGTGGGAAGGAGGTGGGGGGTTGGAGTTGTTCCATGAGGGATTTTATTCTTGCCCTGCCCAGGGAAATAAGCCAATGAGAGACAAGCCCCGCCCAGACATTGCCCAATCAGAACCCAGTGGTGTGGGAGCCCCCCCCACCCCCCAAGGCGCTGGTACCCTCTGCGGTGCCAGCGTTAACATGGATGATGGAGGCCGGCCCTGTGGCTTAGCGGTTAAGTGCGTGCTCTCTGATGCTGGCGGCCCGGGTTCGGATCCCGGGCGCACACCGACGCACTGCTTCTCCGGCTACGCTGAGGCCGCGTCCCACATACGGCAACTAGAAAGCTCTGCAACTATGACATACAACTATCTACTGGGGCTTTGGGGTGAAAATAAATAAATAAATCTTTAAAAAAAAAAAAAAAAAAAAAAAAATTAAAAAAAAAAAAAAAAAAAAAAAACATGGATGATGGAGAGGTGGTAGGGGGTCTTTTCTGAATGAGAGGCTTGGAACTGGGTGGAGCTGGGGCTGGGACAGTGGCTATTTACCAGCCAGTATGGAAATATTTCAACATGACAACAACCATCATACGCACACTCAGGCTCATGGGCTGAATGACAGCCATGATCTAGACACCGGCTGGGTACCGGTAGAGGGCAAGGGAGAAGCTGACCTAGCTTGGATGGGCAGACTTGCGGGGCTCTGTGCCCTGTGGCAGGCATTCCACCATCTGGTCAGGACGTGTCCAGCCCAGCCACAAGCTGTGTGGGGAGCCATTACCATGGATTCTGCCCAAGCCACAACCATCCCAACGTGATGATGGTGCCAGTGGTGATAAACTCAGGGTTCTAGAAGTGGAATGACAGAGTTAAGGGGCAAGGGCTCTTTCTAAGGCAAAAATTAAATAGATCGGAAACCTTTAGTGCCTCTGCATCCCCTTCTGGAAAATGGGCAGAATTTTCAAATCAGCATTGAAGCCCTTGTCCAACTGGATCTCATCTATTCTTTCCTCTGCTGTGGTCCACCTGTGCCCACTACCCCTGCCAGCCAGGCTTCACCAGCCACTCCTCCACCCCCCTCACACACACACATACACAAACACTGCACTTTCCAGTCTCCCAGCCTTTGCCTGTGCTGTCCCCCCACCTCACCATCTGTCTTTTCCATGCTCTCATCACCTCATTCTTGCTGTTGCCCCTGTTGGGGGCCCACCTGACTGTGCGGAAGATGAGGCTGCTGCCCAGGCCCCTCTCATCCTCATGGAGACGCTGGAAGGCCATCAGGAGGCTGTAATCCAGCACGTTGAGCTCCCGGAGGAAGGCGGTGTCCAGTTCCATCTGGCGGAGGAGCCAGCTCCGCTGGGACCCTGCCGGAGCACCAGTGCCCCCACCTGAGTTCTCATCGTGTGCCAGGCAAGGTGCTGAGGCCTCCAGGAGAGCAGGCATCATTACTGTCCCATTTCACAGATGAGGAAACTCATCTGTAATTAGCCTTGGTCACCTAGCTAGTAAGTCGTGGGGGTGGGAATTGAACCCTGCTCTGCCTGACTCCAGAACCTGGGCTCTTAACAACTCAGGCAGAGGGCAGTGCCAGGACACCCTTCTAACTTCACCCTGAATGGAGAAGAGCATGCAGTGACCGCCCTGTGGCTCACCCAGGTTGATGCTCTTGCCCTGAAAGTTGAGGTCTTTCAGCACCAGGACGATGGGGCTGCCCTCAGGGGCCGGCTCCACCCAGCGGCTCACCTCACAGCCCTTGATGTCATACCTAAGACACAGGAGATGGGGGGCAACAGATTTCAGCTTTACACAGACTCGAGACACACAGGGAACCTCACAAGGTAATCCTAAGAAACAAGAGTTTCCACTGGGTGACAGTTCAAATCCTCAGTACAGCCCCATTCCACTGCTGTCCCAAAAAAAGGTGCAGAGAGTTCCTTTGACTCACCCAAGACCACACAGTATGTAAGGGGCAGAGCAGGGATTCGAACTCAGGCCTGGAAGCCCGGCCCAGGCTTTACTCCTGCCTGTGCCTGCCTCTTGGTGCCATTTCACCCCTGCGGGTGTCCCAGACCAGGGGTCCAGCGCAAGAGGGCAGCACTAGGAGGGCTAGAAGGAAGTCTGTGGCCCTGGGGGAGCACTAATGGGGAGCTTGTGGGCAGAGTCTGGGCAACGTGCAGTCGGAGGCTGGGTTTGAATCCCTGCTCCTCACATGGTAGCTGTGTGGCCCTCCACCTCCTCAGTTTCTCATCTATAAAATGGGGATGATGATAACCTCTACCCCTCGGTGTTGTCCTGGGAATATGGAAGATAATGAATGCAAATGGCTCAACACAGCGCCCAGTGCATACTGAGTGCTCAAGAGCTGCTGCTCTAGGGTACCATTGTCTCCCACCCGTCAGATTTCCGGAACGTCCCTTCTCTTCCCTGGGCCTCAGTTTCGCCGTCTATCCAGGGAGTGTTCAGGCGGCACATTCCGGGTGTGGTCAGGGCCCTGTGGGGCCCACTCACCTCTCGGAGATGCGGCCGGCGGGAAAGAAGACGCTCTGCATGATGATGAAGTATTTCTGGGGACGGGGGTAGGGAGTGAGGGAAGACAGGATCTCACCCTCCGGCCGCCCCCTCCGGCCCGGCCCCCTCGCCTCGGCCTCACCCACCTTCTTTCCCCGGGCGACCCGAAGACTGTGCACTCCTGGAAGGCGAGAGGGCGCCAGGTGAGCGACCCAAAACTCGGCAACCCCGGGCCCATCCCGCCCCAGTCCCAGCTCCCGGCCACACCTCCTTCTCGAGACCCGCCGCACCCCGAGCCCGCCCCTCCAGGCCTCGCCCCCAGACCCCTTCCTCTGCTTGGATCGGTGTCCCCACTCCACCCGCCTCTAGACATAGTCCCAAAGATGCCGGGTCCTCAGGTATGGTCGCTCCTATATACCCTCCCCCAAGGACTGTCCAATCCCAACCCCGCCCCCTTGGGCCCCGCCCCAGATATTGGCCCCGCCCACCGACCCCGCCGCTCCCCTACACCGCGGTCTAGGACCCCACCAAACTGTGCCCGCCGCCGGCCTCGCCTCCTGTTCGTTCCCCTCCAGCCGGCTTGGGCTGGGGTCGCATCCTGGGAATCGCCCCCACTCCCTGGCCCCCTGCCCTCCTGGCTCTCTCTTCTTCACCGCCCCCGCCCCCGCAGTCCCGGGTCCCGGCCGGCATACCCAGCAAGCGCGCGAGCAGCGAATGTGGGTGCCGCTGCAGGTGCTGCACGTAGCGGGGCAGGTGGGCGAGCAGCACCTGCACCTCGTGGCGCCGCTGGGTCTTCAGGAAGAAGCGCTGGTCGTGGCTGGGGGGCGGGAGGGAGAGGTCACTGACCGGCCGGGCTGGAGCGGCCTCCCCACCGCCGCTCTCCCCTCCCGTACCCCTCCTCAGTCTCATCTCCTCCGTCTGACCTCTGTCTGGCCCTGACCCTCCCTGACCTGGCGGTTCTGTTTCTCTCCCCAAGCGTCCCCTCCACCCCAGAACACCGCTCCCACCCCTTCCCCACCCCTGCTGCCGGCTCACGAAAGAAAGAAGCTGGCCTTGCTCTTGGAGGTGCTGAGGAACTGCAGGTAGGGGCCGCCGGGGCCCAGCGCAGCCTGATAATCCTCCTCCGCCAGGCCTAGGGAACGCCGCAGCCGGGCGAAGACCGGGCCAGCCAGGGTGCCCACCTCGAAGCCCTGCAGGGAAGAAGAGCAGCCCCAAGAGTGTCCACAGGGGCTTAGGTGTGTGCAGTTGCCCGAGTGCGGGAGGGTCAGGGTAACCACACCCTTCCTGCAAGGCTCTGAGATGGGCCATCACTCCCACTGCACAGCTGGGGAAACTGAGGAGAGAGAGCTAAGATGGGTACACATCCCCTTCCATGCAGCAGTCATGGGCTTCCTACCTCATGAACCTGGGTCAGGACCTCGGAGAAATCCTCCTCAGTGGGCGGTCCCTACAGGGAGGGGCAGAGGGGCTCAGGGCAAGTCTCAGTCCCCCACTGCCAGCCCCAGGATCTCCAAGCGTCCTGCACCTGGCCTCGCCCCCTTCCCCCAGTTTGATTCCTCCAGCAAACAAGCATCACTCTGGGTGTGCCTGAGTTGGGCAGATGGGTTGCTGGCCCTCTCAAAGCTGGAGGGAAGATGAGAGTGACCTGGGCAGGTCTTGGGTGTGCCTCATCCACTGCTGGGTCCCCAGGACCAGGCTTTGAGTTCAAGCCCAGCACACGAGCCCAGACACACGCTGGCCAAGTGACACCAGATGCCATCCCAGTGAAAAGGGATGGCCTTAAAGCCAGGGGACCCGCCTGACTCAGCCTGGGAGGAACAGGATCAGAGAAGCTTCCTGAAGGAAGTGACTTCTAAGTCTGAAGGGTAGTGGAGAGGAAGAGTAGGGTGCTCATAACAGTGGGAACAGCATTGGCGGCCACCAGGAAAGGAAGGAGGGCCCAAGTGGCTGAAGTGAGGAAGGGAGGGATGGAGTGTGAACAAGGCTGGACAGTTGGCCCCTGGGCTTGAACCAGCAGGATCCTGAGCCCATGCTGAGTGTTGGGAGCCCTGTAAGATCCTCAGCAGGTGATGAGATTTAGAGGACTCTTACACTCTCCCTGGACCTCCAGGTCCCTGTGCCAGGACGTGGCCTGTGGGATGTGGTCACACTATGTGCACGTGTGCACACACAAACACACATGCTCACCCCACCGTGCACCTGCTGAGCTGGCAGTTGGGGGACCCTTTCTGCTGAGCCAGCCTGGCCCCAGCCTGAGCTCCAGGGAGGATGGGCTGGGCTGGTGGAGTGGGGGTGGGGTCCCTTCTCAACCATACACCCTGGCAGAGCTGGGAGGGCCTCGGAGACCAAGGAGTCCAATCCCTCCCACCCATTATACAGATGGGGACACTGAGGACCAAAGAGAGGCAGAGGCCCGTCTAGAGTCACACAGCAACTACCTGAGTCAGGGGGTTCCTCACATCCACACCACATCCTGGACTTTTGGGCTTCCTGGCCTCAGCCCCCACCCCAGAATGTCCCTCCCTCCCTCCCTGCACCAAGCCCCTGCCTTCCTCCCCTTCTAGCCCTCTCTGATCCCCATTCCTGTAGTATCAGCAGGACAGGGCATCAGTCTGGTCTTGCTGTCAGTGCTGCAGAGGTGCATGGGACAGACTGGCCACTCACCGTGGGCGGGTGGTCCATGGAGACCTGGGTGGCAGCCCACAGCCCTGCCTGCATCATGCACGTCATCTGGTGCAGCTCATGCCCCGGGTCGATCTCAAAAAGGCCTAGGCGCAACTGCTTGTCGCGTAGACGCCAGAGGAGGCCACGGCGGCTGGAGCTCGAGGCAGCTGCTCTGCATCCAGCCTCTGGGGAGGGGGCTCGGACCTGGTGGCAGGAGGCACGAGAAGCAGTGAGCATCCCAGAGGGGAAAGATCTGCATTTGAGTCCCACCTCTGCTACTTGTGAGCCCTCCTCTCATCTCTCTCTGCCTCAGTTTCCTCAATTGTAAAATATGGATAATACTAGTACCCACCTCACTGGGTGTCCTTAGGAGCAGCCAGACAGTGCCTGGCACGTAGTCAGCACCCAAAATAGAGTGATAGTTATTATTATCAGTAGGCAGAGTGTGGCCCAAGACTGACTGTCTCTCACTGGCTGTGTGACCTTAGGTAAGTCACCTAGCCTTTCTGTGCCTCACTTTCTCATCTGTAAAATGAGAACTATAACAACTCCTTCGTGGCAGGCATAAACTGTTGTTACTGTTGAGTTTGAGCTCCGTGCACAGGAACCCTTGATAGTAGGAGCCCTGATGCCAGTGACCCGGTCATCTATTCCACTGGTCTATGCTGAGTTCCTCCAGGCCAGCGCCGAGGGTCAGCACGAGGCTGAGCTCAGAGCAGCTGACCCATTAGTAGTGGGCACCCACCATGTGCCAGCACTGGCTGAGAGTTTGACCTCCTAACAGCCCTATGAAAGAGGAGCTTTTATTATCATCTCCGTTTTCCCGAGGAGGAAACTGAGCAAGTTCTCAGGGGGTACCCGCCAGACTCCTCCCTTCGTACCTGCTGCCCCATGTGGGGCGTGTCCTGGTCCCCGCCCAGTGCAGGACCCCTCCGGGGCTTGGATAGGGGTGTGTCAGCGCCGCACGGGGAGGGGAGGCCCGGATCCTGCCCCCCAACCCTTCCCTCTCCTGTCTTCTCTCGGGTCCGCACCTACCTCGCAGGGTCCCGGGCTCGGCGCGGCCATCGCCCCCGCAGCAGCTTCCTGGGCTCTGGCCTCGTCCCCCGCCGCCCGGCCTCCCGGCCACCCCGGCCCCGCTGCGGGAGCCAGGCCCCGCCCCTGCCTCAGGACCGACCAATCGCGCCGTGCCGGTCACGGCTACACCCAATCCGCGCGGGGGGGGCCGGCGATCGCCTGCGGGTTCCGCCCCCGGGGCTGCAGCATCCTTCGGACCGCGGTCCAGGGTGGGGCGGGGCCGCTGCGCGTTGGTTAGGGTCCCCAGGCGTGGGGGACTCGGGTGTCGGGGCGGCTTGGGGAGGCAGATAACCTAAATCCAGTCCCGTCCACCCATTCTGACGTGAAATTCCCACCGACTGTCTTTTGGGTGAGGAAACTAAGATCCAGAGAGAACAGTGACTACCTCCAGGTCACACAAGAAGTCAGGGGCATGCATTCATTCAACACATGTGTCGAACGCTCATTATAGGCCAGGAGCAGTGCTAGGACCCGGGGATTTAGTGGTGAGTGAGAGGGAGGAACACGGCTGCCAGAGTGAGCTTTTAAAAGCATAAATCGGATGATGTCACTGTCATGCTTAAAGCCTCCGGTGGCTTCCCATGGAACTGGAACAAAATCCAAACCCCTCGCCATGGCCCCAGGCCCATCTGCCCACTCTCCAGCCCCATCTCAAACCACTCTCCTCCCTACACCCTCCCCATGGCCACAGGGGCTCCCCGCTGCTCCTTAGCCACGAAACTTTCACACCTCAGGCTTTTGCAGCTGCTGTTCCCTCTGCTTGAAATCCTTTTCCCTAGACTTTCATCTGCCTTATTCCATCTTATCACCTTGCCTGCCTCTGCTTAGAGAGCATCCCCTCCTCTCATTCTTGATCACATCACCTTGTTTTATTTTCACCATCACCCTTAACACTGAAATCGTCTTGTTCATTTATTTGTTTATTACACCTCTCCCCTAGAATAGGAGTGCCAGGAGGGCAGGAACCATGCCAGGCTCCTTTCCTGACTCAGTGCCTGGCACAAACCGGAGTTTCATAAATATATGTTGAACCAATGCAGAATGTGCAAAGGGTTTTGGAGAACCCCGGGAAATGAAAGGCCAGCATGGCTGGAGAGAGGAGATAGTGAGCGAGCGAGCACGCAGGCTCTTGTAGGCCATGGTAGGGAGAGGGTGGGAACCTGGAGAAGCATTTTAAGTGTGAGTGTGAGGAAGATACTCACATGTTTTTAAAAGGCCACTGGTCGTTGTGCATTGTCAGACTGGAGGGGATCAGAGTGGGCAGGGGGAGAGCAGTGAGGAAGCCTTTGGTGACTTAGGGCAGAGGATGGTGGCTTTGCATCAGGAGGGTGATTACTGGTGGGGGTGGGGAGAAAAGGGGAGAATTGACAGGATTTGGGGTTGTGTGGATGTGGGGGTGGGAGAGGAAAGCCAAGATCAGTGATGTCTGTCAGGCTGGAGTCAGGGACACAGGATGATGCCAGTCGTGAGAGGGGGCAAGGCATGAGGGCCAGACTTGGGGGGAAGTCTGAGAATTCAGCACACGAAAGGATGAATTTGGGGCTGGCCCAGTGGCGCAGCGGTTAGGTGTGCGCCCTCCGCTGCTGCGGCCCGGGGTTCGCTGGTTCGGATCCCGGGTGCGCACCGACGCACGGCTTGTCAAGCCATGCTGTGGCCGCATCCTATATAAAGTAGAGGGAGATGGGCATGGGTGTTAGCTCAGGGCCAGTCTTTCTCAGCAAAAAAGAGGAGGATTGGCATTAGATGTTAGCTCAGGGATGATCTTCCTCACAAAACAAAAAAGGATGAATTTGAGAATTTGAGGTGCCATTACAACACCCAATGGGGACATCAAGTGGGCGGCTGGTGCATGTGCAGTGCATCGGGGCTCAGGAAAGGGCTGGGCTGGAGGTGAGCCTGGGTAGGGACCAGGTTACCCAGGAAAAGTGTGAGGTGAGGAGGCCTGTGACCTGAGGCCCACCCTCTCACAGCAGAACAGAGGAGCCAGAGTGAGAGACATGAAGTAGGAGAATGGGTCACCAGAGACACCAAGAGAGCATCTGAAGGTGCATTGGGGGAATGTCACAGGCCAAATGTGGCAGACGGTCAAGGACACGTGCACCCGTGGTCTCAGTGGGTGCAGCTTTCCTGGAGAGACGCTGAGCACGGCGGAAGTGAGGAAGTGCAGGCAGCAGGTGTGCACACCCTTCTCCGAAGTTCAGCTATGAGGGGAGGAGAGGGAGGGACTTGGGTGGAATTACTGGGTTGATGGAGGGTCCTTTATGTGGCAGCCTGGAGCAAGTTCATGAGACACTGAGAGGACCCTGTTGAGCAGAAGAAGCTGTTCCCATGAGAGGGGCATCATCGGTGATAGGAGGTGCCTACCACAGCAGGGGAAGGACAGGACCCAAGGCCCAGGTGGGCAGCTCTGCCTGGACTGGAGGATGGGGAGAGAGCGGGGCAGGTGAGGGGAGGGCAGGTGTGTCTGCAGTTAGCCTCTCTGAGGGAGAGGCCTCTGCTGACTGGAGGCAGAGCGACCGTCCACGGTGTGCTGGGATGGAGGTATACACTGGGCACTGTGAACGGGAGAGCTGGATACCCACAAGGGGGATTGCTGGGGGGTTGGGGCTGTGCCGGATCAGTCAACCTGAACACAGTGGAACCAGCCCTACTCCGGCTCAGTGAGCAGCCCTCACTGCTCAGCCGTGCTAAATTGGGCTGCTAGGTACAAGAGATGGACAACAGGCTTGCACTTTTCGGGGACTGGCCTGAGGGTCCCTAAAATACTAGCGCATGCTGGCTGGGCTGGCACAGGGGAGGCATGGTGGAGGCTAATGTGGTGTCTGGAGGGTCGCCATGCCTCCACCCACTCCCCAGCTGTGAGCTGCACCAGGCCGGAACCACGTCTGTTCCTGGCCCTGCTTTATCCCGTGTCAGCACAGGAATGATCCCGGAGGCACCTCAGGCACCCTTGTTACACGACCAGGGTCTCCTGCCCTGAGATCAACGCAGGGGCCAGCTCCCAGCCCGTGCAACCCCTGAGAAGCCCGGCTCCCCTGGTCAGGAATGGCACAGAGACGAACACGCCATCAATGTTTATTGTTCAGCTCTCCCCAGGAGGCCAGCGCTGGAGCTGGGGGGCTGGCCTCCATGAGGAGCGGTTGGTTTGGGGGCCCGGTGTGGCCACCCTAATGTGCCCTGAGGCCTGGCGGTGGTCCTGGGGCCTGTCAGGCCTCTCGCTGGGCTTTCCTGGTCCAGAAGTCCGTGTGGGGTTGGGGCTTGTCAGACCAGGAAAGCTACCTTCGTGGAGGGGCAGGACATGTGGGGAGAGGTCACGTGCTGCCTCAGAACCTGCTAAGTCCAACATCAGCATGTGATAGGAGGGAAACTGAGGCAAGAGGGTAGAACCTAGAGGAAGAAGTGACAGGGAGTCTGAAGGTGAGATGGGAAGGACCAGCATCTTTCAGGCCGAGCCAGAAGGGGGTGAGAGGGAGACTTCCAGGTACTCCTCCCTCCTGGCTTCTGGAAGGGTGAGCAGGGGCTCTGGTCAGTCGGGGGTGAGTCCTGAACAGCTCCGTCCCACAGGGGTGTCTGCAGGGCAGCCAGGCTTGAGAGGGCCGCAGTGCCTGGATGAGTCCGGCAGGCCCCCACCCTTGGTCCCTGCCCGGGAGGGGAGGCAGAGCTGGGGCCGGCAGCCTCATCCCGGCTGGGCCTTCACTGAGCCTTTTTGGTCACCTTCTGGTTCTTCAGCATCACGTAGGTGATGAACACTCCTGGAATATACAGATCAGAAAGGCCAGGTAAGATCCGGGCTCGGGGCTACCGGGAGGCCAGAGCAGGGCACAGCATGGCAAAGCGACCCAGACTCGGGGCCAAGCACCTACCCAACCACCCTCCGGGCCACCTGGTCATCTCCCTAGTCACTCATCAAGCCACACATCCACCCACATTCATTCAACAAACACCAACTGAGTGCCAACCGCAGGCAACTTGCTGTATTTGGTGTTTCAGATCCTATGAGGAACAAGATCCACCCACCCATCCATCTACTCACCCAACCACCTGTTCACTTACCTACCCACCCACCCACCTGCCCACTCAACATCTATCATCCACCCACCTACCCACCCACCCCTCATCCAGTCATCTGATTGTTGACTCAGCCAAACCACTTTGTTGAGCACAGATTCAGTGCCATGGCCTGTGCCGAGCTGAGGCCATGGTAACGAAGCCACAGTCCCTGCCCCTAGGAGCCCACCCACTAAACCACGGGAGACAGAGAGGCGCAGGAATCAGGAGCCAGGGTGACAAGGGGGTGAGAGGTGATTGAGGTGTGAGCAGAGTAAGGATGGCGGTGGTAGACGGAGCAGGAGAAAGGGAGACATCCCGTTAGAGTCCAGTGAGCCTGAGGCGTCGGAAGACTGACTTGCAGCCCTGAAGGAGGAACAGGAACAGGAACCTGGGGGTGAGCTGGGGACAAGGAGCCTCAAACAGATGTACAGCAAGTGCCAAAGCGTGGCAGTATGTTCAGCAGTGGGAGAGGGTCATGGGATCCCCCAGACGCCCTGCCCAGGTTGGGGGAGTGATGACTTACCCACAAACAGGAGCAGCAGGAGGCCGGCAGCCAGTGGGATGGCAATGGCATAGGCTCGGGGCAGGAAATACTTGTGGATGACATGCTGGCTGTCGATGAATGGCTGCCATAGAGGGCAGAGCTCTGGTGAGCATTCCTCACCTTGCCCAGCCCCCCAACCCCAAACATCTCTCCTCCTCTGTCTCAGGGGCTGACCCCATTCAAAGCCTGGGGACAGCATTTGCTTTTCTGTAAGATGATGGCATTTTTGGTGCCCTGTTTCCTACCTTCCTTCATTTATTAAATGGTTGTTTACTGGGCACTTGCCCGGCGCCTGCCTAAGTTGGTGCTGGGGACATGGCAGTGAACAGAAGACAAAGCACTTGTCCTAAGGCCCTCACAGCCTAGCAGGGGCAAAGGGTACAGGAGGAATCCTTGAGTGATTCCCAACCTGGGCTCCAGGGCTTTCTTTACCAATATTTTTCTCCAAAGGATACCAAGTTCTGCAAGATTTTGCCTTCCAAGCACACCCCACTTCTTAGGCAGTAACCAACAAATTTTCCCACGAGAAAAAGAAAAAACTAAACACCCTCAACAAAATCCATTAGCACTCATCATGCCCAGGAGCCAGCGGGATAACCAGAAGGACTAGAGCTCCCATCAAAGGCAAAGCAAATCAGGAACAGGGCTTCACAGGGCAGCAGGTAAGGGGCGACCTTGGGCCCGACCCTTCTCCCCGAGCCTTAGCGTCCTTATTTATAAAACGGGGACGCCACTAGCCTCTTCCTCATAGTGCTGTTCTGGAGCTTTCATGAGATATGCAGGCACTAGCACAGTCCCTGTCACACAGCAGCTGCTTAAAAGATGCTAGGGGTCAGCTTCAAGCTCCAGGGATGGGAGAAGGTGAGAGAGGGCGGGAAAGCTCACGTACCAAGAGAATCACCCAGGCGGTGTAGTAGGTGAAGATGATCAGGCTAACGGCGACGAGGCCGAGTCCCACTACCTGGTCTGTCCCGGTGGCCTGGAGAAAAGGGAGGGCTCAACTGACGAAGTGACTCTCCATCCAGGTGCACTAATAGAGGGGGGAGTCGCAGCCCGATTACGCTCTAAGCTTTCCATTCACTCAATAGACGTATCTGACGTGACTGACTGGGTGTCAATTTCTCCGCTGGACAGAGAGTGCCGGACCTCGGCGTTTTCATCCGTACATTGGGCCGGCGGGGGAGCAATGCCGGTTCTGAGCGCCCAACCCCCGGCTCCTGAATAGACCGGGACCCCACCCCTAGACGCCACCCACCCCCCGCATTCGGTCGCAAGCTCACCATCTCCCCCGCGCTCCAGCCCCGGAGCAACAAGCCACATCCGGTTCCGGATCCGGGCCCTTGGCCCTTGTGCCGCTGGGCACGCTGGGAGTCGTAGTCCTTAGGCAGGCCCAGGCGTTGCCCAAACAAGCAGGCACCGCCTCCCCCTTTGCATGTCGGGAATTGTAGTTTCTCAAGGGCATTGTGGGACTTGCTGCCGAATCTCGCGAGGGAAGGGGACGGAGCTGGGAACCCAGACTAGCTGGCGCTCGTGGCTTCAGGCCTACCGACCTCGCCCCAGAAAAAAAAACCCAGCTTTACATATGCCAAAGTCTGAAAGCCAGAGCGGAATGGGGGTGGGAGTCGGAAGTCCCATCTGAAAAATGAGGCTCAGAGGGGCGCGAGGATTTGCAGGAGATCACAATTCAAGTCAGTGGTGAAGCCAAAATCCGAATCCGGGGTCCTACTTCCTGGTCCCGACGCCCTAATTTCTCTCTTGAGAGGAGGGTGCTGAGAATGTTCCTGGAGTGGGAGGAGGAGGCGCTGCCCGAGCCCGCAGGGATGGGGAGGATTTCGATTGGCTGAGAGGGGCACCCTCTTACCATCGCCTGGCTTGCCTGGCGACCCTTTGCTGTGTCCCCTCTTCACTGCAAGAATGAGGTCAGGGTGACCCTCCCTTCCCTCACCATCTGCCTCTGGGGTCCTGGGTGTCGCGGCAGCCCAGGCAACAGGTCTTCGGACTGGCCGCGTGTGCAGGCCCCTCCCCAGGCTTGGAGGCCGTTTCTTCTGTGAGCAAGGGGAGGTTGGGCCTGACCACATTTTACGTCTCCTCCAGTTCCGGGGTCTGGAACAGTCTTCCCACAGCTCATGGGGCTGGCTGCTCCTCACCCATCAGGTCTTACTGGGATGCCACACGTCCCAGGGAAGCGACCTTTGCAGCTGGGCAGAGGTTCTCAGTGCTCCACAGCCTGGAGTGTGTCTCCATACAAACACTTGTCCCTGCATTTTCATTAGCTGATCTGGCCCACCTGACTGTGAGCTCCCTGAGGAGGGTCTGTGGTCACTGCTGTATCCCGAGTGCCTAGAATGGGGCTTGGCACAAAGTAGGAGCTTTGAATCAACCACCCACCTTTAAGATTTGCTGACTTTTTTAGATCCTGGAATGCCACACAGTACAGCATCCAGGGACTCTAGGCCTCCTGAGGGGTTGTGTGGAGGCTCTTGGCCTGCTGTCTCCACTTGGGGGGTGAGGGGCACGTGGAGGTGCAATCTGACCCTGGCATGGTTTGCTCCTGCTGGCATCCTGCTCCTGGATCATCTCAGCCCATCTCTGACTATGGGGACTGCCCTCCCAAAGCTGATAGGAGCGACTGTTTTTTTCCCTACCATTTTGCATACTGATTTTTCACTTGGATTACTGTGTTGCAAAGGAGCAACCCTCTTTGGCCTACATCCCAATTCCTTCCCTCTCGTCTCAGGACAGACTTATGGCCTCAGCCGGGGGCCAACTTTTCCCTCCCCAAGTGTGCACAGAAGAAAGGGAGACTGAGAATCAGTCTCCGGGTTTACAGGGGCCATGAGTGGGCATCAGCCCTGAGAAGGGGTGGGGATACTGCAGTGCTACAGCCCGGACGAGGCCTGGTAGCCTCCTGGTAGCCTGCTCCCTTCTGGCCTGTGCAAAGCCACAGAGGCTTCCTGCCACTCCTGAGCTCATTCAAGTCCCAGGGCAACTTGCCTTTCCCAGAGCTTGGCTAAGCCGCTGGCTCCTCTAACTAACTTGAGTCGGGGGCAGGGAACGAGGGACCCAGGTCTGGAGACAATGCCGGCCTGGGGCTTTACAGAGGTTGAGAAAATGCTCAGCACCTCCCAAAGGTCAGGCTGTGCGCCCACTCTCCCATCTGATCCACCACCCCATCTGCAGCTGAGAAAACCGAGGCCCAGACAGTTCCTTGTCCTCAGGCATGCTTGTTAGAGGCCACCTGACCGCGGGGCGGTCCGCAGAGCAGTGGTTAGAACTTAGGCTGAGCTCAGAGCTGCCACTTACTAGGTGTGAGACTGGCGAGAAACTGCCCTTCTGGGCCTCCGTTTCCTCCCCAGAAATCTGGAGTAATAAAGGTAGTAATAGTTGTGAGGGCAGCCAGGACTTGGATAACCCTGTCCACCTACATCTTCCCACCCCCAGAATTCTGTCACCTTACACATCTGGATTCCTACAGATGCCATCCTTGACCCCAAAGTCAATTCAGTAAAACAAACAAACAAACAAAAAACCAACATGCTGTAATAAACAAAAACTGCAACATTTAATTTTTTCCCCCAAACCAAGACACTGACACTAGGCTGATTTCCCCTTACAATGTTATTTTCTACAATAGAAGCTGGGACAGAGACACAAACACAGTCCACTGAATCATCGCGGGTTGGGGGTTGGTGGTGGCAACATTCTGTTAGAAAAGAGGGGAATTAAAAAAAAAAAAGACCTCCCCTCTCCCCCATGTCCCTGCTCACCTCTCTAAAGAGAGGAAAACATGGACATTCTCCATCCTGGCAGATCATGCCATGTGGTCAGTTTGTGGGGTGACCAGAAAAAAAATTACCTAAAAATATTGTAGACCTTTATTTATTTTCTTTAAATCTCCTAATAAAAACGTTAAACTGTCTTTCAAGAAGATTCCAAACTGGCATTGCATAGACCAATTCCTTTCCAAAAATATCTCTAATATATCTTCTCTCTATATATATAGAATTTTAAGTCCAGGAGCTGTGGGCGCCTAGTGGGAATTCACTGAGCTTGAGGGAACCAGAGGGCCGAATAAAGGGCTCCTACGTGGGGATGAGGCCAGGTCTCCAGGCCTCCGGCTCCAGCCAGCAGTAATTTGGTTGTGGCCGAATTCTCAGTCCAATTACCCTGGCCCAGGGCCTGGCATGGGAGAATGTGGCCGGCTCTGTCTCCTTCTGGGGTGACTGTCAAGTTAAGACCTTGCCTAGGGTGGGGCTGGGGTTCCTGGTTTTGGGGAGTCTCCCCACAGCACCAAAGCCAGCTGTTTTATGCCTAATGCCCCAGAACTTTGAATCAGACCCCAAATACACCCTGAATGCACCTGCCCACTGGGCTGAGGTCATCCAGACACAGAAGGGAAGGGCAGCACCCTCCCATCTTCTGGGGGTCGCTTCACCTGGAGACAGTGCGGCCGGATCCCTTTTAAAGTGCCAGGTGTCTATGGGGCAGGAAGGGACCTGAAGAGCTGAGCAGAGCCTTCTCCAGCCAGAGCGAGTGCTCTGTCCTGCCTCAGCAGGCACCTTCTAACATTCATTTTCTAAAACAGCTGGATGATTAAAAACAACAACAAAAATCCTACAAATGCTCTGGTCCCAACGCCAGGAGGTTCCAAGACCAAGACTCCAACTCCAAGCTGGGGCAGAAGGGCAAGGACCCCTCCCAGCCTGGGGAGGACACCCCCACCCCACCTGTACCCCTACCAGAGAGAGACCAGGATGCTGGCCCCCCGTCCAGACCCCCAGCCCTGCTGGGATCCAGCCAGCAGGTAGGGCAGAGAAGAGAACCACCTCCCCTCACCTGGGGGAGGAGAAAATACCAAACTGGGAATGCTAAAAAAAAAAAAGAAAAGAAAGAAAAAGAAAGGAGGGAAAGAAAGAAGAGAAAAAAAGAGGAAAGAAAACAAAATATAGGGCTAAGTAAACACCAGCCTGCTGGGTTTATACAAAATGAATGAAATTTCAGAGCGGCAGGGGAGTCTGTCCAGGGACTGGCTGGCAGCCAAACCCACCTGCAAGCAAGTAATGAGGACCAGGGGGAAAAGTGCTGAGAGCAGAGGCTTCAGCGAGGGCGGGGCGGGAGGCAGGGCCAGACTGCGCCTCGCAAGGGACCCGCCTCTCCCCTCCCAGAGAAAGGGATGCTTTCAGAGGAGGGCTGAGGATTTTCTGGCCAGGAAGCCAGCTCCGGGCCAGTCCAGTCACAGCCCACCTGCCTCTTCAGCATCAGCCCCAGCCTGGGCCAGCTGACCCTGACGGGGAAAAGGGGGCTTTGCTTGCCAAGCCTGGCCCAGCCAGGCCCTGGACCTCCAAGGGCGTGGGAGGCACCTTCCTTGGCTTCCTGTAGGAAACCAGCTGCCCAGGACCCAGCCCTGGACAGAGGGAACCCCGTTTCTCAGCATGGGTCTCAGGCTGGAGCTGAAGCTAACTGGAGGGAGGAGAGGCAGTGCCCCGGTCCAGCCGGACGGCTCCAGCTGGGCTGCTGGCTGCACAGCAGGCAGCGCCCAGGAATTCTTGGGAAGGGCTCAGAGGAAGGGCAGGCAGGGCCTGTGGGGCTGTGCTGGAGACAAGCATGTGCAAAGTGCAGGCTGCCAGGGCAGCAGGAGAACATTCGTTGGGGGAGAGGGTCTCAGTCTGGAGTGTGGGTGGGGTCTGAGGTCTTGACTCCCAGGAGAAGGCCGCCAGCGGGTCCCCCAGGACACAGGGAAGGGACAGCTGAAACACTAAGCAGTCAGAGGGCCACGGTGGCAGGATTCTGGAGGTGAACTGGCCCCCCAAGGACAAGGGGGCAGTGGAGCAAGGCCCTGCCAGGGCATGGTTGAGCCGGCGCTCCTGGAGTGAGCGGGGACACCGGGCAAGAGGCCCCTCAGCCACAAGCATCCTCTGTGTGTAGGAGCTGCTGCAGGTCCTTGCTGAGGGGCCAGGTCAGTCTCCCGCGGGCCAGTCCTGGCCATCTGTCTTGCCCACCTGCCTCATGGGCCCGCGTGTCCTGCCCTCTAGTGGTTCGGAAGAGAATATTCACAGTGGTGCCCGGGCCCTGGCAGGCCAGGAGGGTCCCGGCATGGATGGGAGGACAATGGAATGATGCTTTGAGGCAGGGGCAGGGGCTGGAGTGCATGGAGGAGGCACAGATGAGATGCGGCGCAGACGGTGATCCAAAGGGGAAGGTCCCTCGTGGAATGACACGGGTCTGGATGCCCGCGAAGGCAGGGCCCTTCTCCAGGCTGAACACCCGCTCCTCAATGGCTTTCAATCACGACTGGCTCGTAGACCCCAGAGGAGACCCTGCAGGGGAGAGGCAGGTCAGCTCGCCCTCATCAATGCTCTTATGGGCCAGGCCTTTAGAGGTACTTCATAAGCAGGCACTGTTATCTGGCCCCATTTTGCAGAGGGGGAACTGAGGCTCAGACAAGTTGAGTCACTTGCCCAGGGTGAGAAATGGTGAGTATCAGTCTGTGGGATCGCAGAGCTGGCCGGAGCCCTTCCTGGGCACCAGAGGCTTACTCACTGGGGTGTGCTGTGCCCATCCTCAAAGCAACCCTGGCAGGGAGGATCTGCACCCCGCCCCCCTTGACAGATAACAGAGGCTCAGAGGGATTATGAGGCTTGCCAAGAGCTCAGAAGACAGTTGGGGAGCCTGATCAGCTTTCCTCCCAGCTGAGGCCATGCCCACCCAGGGGTTCATGGACATCTGGGGCTTGGCTTGCAGCTCTGCTGTGCCCTTGATGTCAAATGGATTGGTTCTTCCCTCTCCCGAACCCAATCTTCCTCATCTTCAGAGTGAGCTAGAGAGGAGTGTAAACAAACCTCCAAAGAGGTCCCCTGTTTTCTTCCTGCCCACCTGACCCAGGGGCAGCCCAGGAGGCCACAGGGAGATGGTGGCTGCAATTTCGAGCCTTGGCCAGCAGGGGTCAGCAGAGCAGCACCAGAGGGCAGGTCCCAGGACCCTGGGCCCAGCCATGTCTCCTCCGCTCTGGCCCTAGATGCTAAATGGGCACCTTTCCACCCGGCCCACAGGAACCTGGGGCAAAGCCTTTGCCACAACCCTGCACATGGGAAGCTCCTCCACTCACTCACAAACTCAGTAAGCCAGCCACATGGTAAACACACTGTAAATAAACGACTGAGAGGGCCCTCCACAAACTGCAGCGTTCAGGCCCAAGTTTCCTCCGACCACCCCCTGGTCTGTGAACATCATGTGGGCAGAATCTGTGTTGCTCACTGCTGTATCCTTAGCCCCAAGCTCAGTGCCTGGTGCTCAGTAAATATCTGTCCAATAAGTAAATGAGTCATCGTCCTCATTTTTTAGGGGTTTCCAAATCCAGGAGGAAGGGAAAGGAAAGTAGGGCCCAAAATAAAGATGTAGGAAGCTCCTGCTGTGTGCCAGGCCCTGGGCCAGCCACTTTCCAAGGTTACCCTTGAGATCCTCAGAACCAACCCTGGGGCATTGTCCCGGGTGTCCAGGTGAGGTGATGTGGTCCACACCATTTGACAGATGGGGAAACTGAGGCTCAGAGAGACGTGACTGGCCCCAGTCACACTGTAGTGACAAGAACTGGCGTTCAAAGCCAGGTCAGTGGGCTGCAGAGAGCTTGCTCTCACCACCGTGCCCCCGAGAGCCACCCTGGTGCCCACCCCTGAACCTTGACCCCTACCTGTTGGCCAGCTGGATGCCACTCAACGTGGTGGAGCCGTCACGGCTCACGAACAGCCGGAGGTTGCTGTCTGTGGGGACACGGGAGGATGGAGGCTGAGTGGGGCGGGGGCAGCCAGGGAGTCCCTGGAGCAGGTGGCATTGTCTCCCCAGCCCGCCTGGCACGGGCAGCTCACCCTCCGTGTTGCTGCCGTCCGTGAAGTCCTGGCTCTGCATGATCTTCTCCACGATGTCATCCGCATCGATCCGCGTGTCATCCACCCAGGTCGGGTGGCTCTCCATGGAGTCCTTCTTCCGCCTGGGGGGGCGGGGCAGAGTCACAACAGTCAGGGCAGTAGCAGGCACAGTGATGACCACAGCGCGCACCCACGGCACTCAGGATCTCTGCGTGCATGGCAGAGCTCGTCCAGCTTGTGTTCATTTAACCCTTACATCAGCCCGGTGGAGCCGGTGCTACTATCAGCCTGTTTCACAGATGGGGACACAGAGGCTCTGAGAGGCCGCCCGGTGCGTAACCAGGGGACCTAAGGTATGCTAACCCACACACAGCAACTAGCTGGGCACGTGCACACCAGGCCGGGGCAACGCCCTTCATGAGCATCAGTTGGTCGAATTGTCAAGATCCAACCACCTGAGGCAGAGACCCTGTCGTCTCCGTGTTACAGGTAAAGCAGCAGAGAATCAGGGAGCCATCGGGAGAGATCTGTTCTCCAGAAGCCCTGAGCAGTGAGACTCACCGAAACGAGCGGTCGGACAGATGTGGTGGCCGGGGTGGCCTCGGTGGCTTCTCGGGGGGCCGGTGCTCACGCTCGCAGCCCTCGGGGCCCTCCACGGTCATGCTGAGGCCGCCGGAGGCGCTGCTGCTGGTGGACGTGTTGCGGCGGTGTGTCAGGTCCGAGAGGCTGGAGGAGCGCGAGTGCTCCGTGCTGTAGCCTGGTGGGCAGGGGCCGGTCATTACAGGGGAACTGGGGATGTGGAAGGCTGAGGGTCGGGGCCAGGGGCCACTCACCGGAGATCTTGGACTGCTGGCTGGCATAGCTGGAGTTGCGGGAGTGGCCGGAGTGGAACACCTCCTCAGGGCTGGACAGGTTCTGGTCCGGCTCCTCCGGCAGCCCTGGAGGGCAGGGAGGGGGCAGGGGTTACCAGTGGTGCCTGCGCTCGCCCTTCACACGTCTTCTCACTGAGTCTGGATGTGGGGAGGACACTATGTATTTCCACTAACAGACTGAAAAACAGGTTCAGAGGCACAGCAACCAGCCCCAAGCCACAGTTCAGCATCTGAACCCGGGTTCACTCATTTCACAAATATCTATTGGGGAGCCCCTCCACGCAGGGCATTTGACTGGGTGCCGTGAACAAGAGAAGGGTGTCATAGGCTGGTGGGGAGAAAGAATGCGGAACAAAAAATGACCCATAATTAACCACCACTTTAGCAAGTGGTGCAGTGCATATGGGGTGTCTGACCCAGTCTGGGATCAGGGAAGGCTTCTCTGAGGAGGTGGCCTTAATGCAAGATCTTCAGGAGGTGGGGGAAGGAGCAAGTCAGAGACAAAGCCTTCCAGACAGAGGGAACAGCATAAGCAAAGGCCCTGAGGCTTGAATGAGCTTGGGTCAGGGTAGCTGGAGTGGAGTGAATAAGGGGAAGGGGGAGTGGCCGACAGCCCCGTCCCAAGTCACCCATAAGCCCAACTTTGAAACAAACTTTGAAAGCAGATGGGATCCACCCTGGGGCTCTGTGAGTACCCACCCACCAGTTCTCTTGGTCAACACATCCATCCCCTCTTCAGAGATGAGCACAGCCAGGTCACAGGCTGGACCCCAGGCCTGTCTGTGTCCCCACCCAAAGCCACATGGTCTTTCAAGTCCCCAACAGGTGCTGGGGTCTCTTCTCTGCGGACCCCCACCCTGAAGCTGGAGAGACCAATGGTGCCGAGAAGCCCCCATTCCCAAGTGCAGGCCCAGGCTGAGGCAGCCAAGAACCCCAGCTTTCTGCTCTGGCCCTCACCTGGCTGGGTCTGCAGGAAAAATGGGAGTAGAGGAAAGCTGGCTCTTGAGGTCAGAGGGTCCCTCACTGCTCCCAGCCCCCGGGGGCAGAATCACCCAGCACACATCTGCTGAGCTGCCCCAGGCTGTGAGCCCTAATTGCTCTTGTGGCACAAATTCGGGCACCTACGTGCCATCTGGCTCACTAATCGGCTTGGGGGCAGTCTGCCTCCCAGCTCTGAGCTCACTCCCAGGAGGGGTGCAGGGGCCGAGGCTCATCCTCAGCGGCCCTGCTTCACCAGCACAGCACAGCTGGAGCCTCCTCTCCCGGCAGCACCTCCTCCTGATTGCCACACTGTCTCCTCTGGAGGCTCAGGCTCATTCGGTTTTTTTATAACATTAGTAATAATGATAATTTAATAGAAACCTAGCACTGGGAGATACATAGAGGATGTACTATGTGCCAAGCAAGACACATACGTTTGCTCAGTTAATCCCCAAAGCAACCCAGGCTGTGGTTACTACTGCTGATCCCATTTTACAGAGGGGGAAACTGAGACCTGGAGAGGCAAAATGGCCAGGCAAGGTCATGCAGCAAGAGGGAGAGCAAGAGCTCACAGCATGTCCCCCTGCCAGGAACACTGCATCCCACAGCCCAGATTCAGCTCAAATGCCACCTCTTCAGCAGGCCTTCCCTGGCCCCAGACGGACGACTTCTGTGCCTCTCTCACAGCCAGCTCTCATCACATCTGTAGGAGGACATGCACTTGACTTGATTGATGCCTGTCTCTCCTGCGAGACCCAGAGGGCCACGAGGCCACGTTAGTCTCGGTCCAGGGCACTGCTTCGATCCTGGGGCCAAGGGCACTGCCCGGCACACAGGAAGGGCTCAGTGTCTACCTAATGGAAGCACAGACAGGTGCAAACACCGTCCCACCACCTCTCTCTTCTCAGCAAGCTTCTCCCTTGGAACCGGGGGACACCTTGGAGGTAAAAAGCTTCAGCTTTGGGGAGGCGGGGCGGGCAGGTGGGGACAGTACCTGAGCTGAGGATGGTGGGCCGGGCCTTGGGGGGCCGGGACCCCGTCAGGGAGTTGGTGCTGCTGCTGCCACTGCTGCTGGTCCCGCCACCCTTACAGGTCAGCTGCAGGGAGGAATCCTGGCCTGGGATGGAGATGGACTTGGCAGTGGACGGTGGCCTTGGGAGGACACACAAGTGTGACTGGGGTGCCCCATCCTTGGCGTCAGACAAAGACAGGGGAGCCCAGGAGCCTGGAGTGGAGAGTCCCTGTCCACCCTCCCCCAGCACCCAGGATGGAGCCCCCGCCTCAGGCGGCCTGCACCAGCACTCACGTCTTGAAGCAGGGGTCTCCAGAGAGCAGGAACATTCCAATGGTGACCTGTGTGATGGGAGAAATCAGCTACCCCTGTCCAATCCCCCGGCCCAGGCGCCCTGCCTCCCTGTGCCAGCTTCAGACCAGCTTGGACTCTGAGCTTGCCGCTGGCCCTGGTGAAGAGGCCCAGTTTCCTCGTGCAGAAGACAGAACCGATCCTAACACCTGCCTCGTGCGATAGTGGAGAGGACGCGGGGAGATGAGGCTCCGCTCGGCTCGGCGCCTGGTGCAGAGTGAGCAACAAAAGCTAACTACTGTGACTTTATAACTACAGCTAACTGTGCGCCCTCCAGGGAGGGGCCGCCCAGGCACCCTTGTCTCAGGGCCCTGAGGCTCAGAGTAGGCAAGGGCGCAGGAGCTCCACACGTAGGCGGGAGGGAGGCTCTCAAAGCCCACCCTGTAAGGAGGGGGCTCACTGAGCCGGACATGGTTGGGGGGTGCTCACATAGTCCACAACAGAGGGCAGGGGCTTGGGGAAAGTCTGTTGAATAAAGTCAAGCAAGAAGCCATTAGAGGGCCGGTCCTGTGGCTTAGTGGTTAAGAGCGCACAGTCCGCTGCTGGCCACCCGGGTTCGGATCCCAGGCGTGCACCGACGCACCGCTTCTCTGGCCATGCTGAGGCCGCGTCCCACATACAGCAACTAGAAGGATGTGCAGGTATGACATACGACTATCTACTGGGGCCTTGGGGGAAAAAATAAATAAATAAAGTTATCCTCCTTTAAAAAAAAAAAGCCATTAGAAATTTAACATCTACTTGGGCAAACATTTTGGCAATAGCCCAAACAAGGCAAAGTTTGGGTTCCCAAATCTGGGCTGAGATGAAGCGACAGGCAGAGGTTGATGGGGTAGGAAAGAGATGCTCAGACCCAGGGCCACCACCAACAAAAATGGAGACCACTGGTCTGAACCACCCCTCCCCCAGCACCCTTGATCTCCCTTGAGGGTGCACGGGGCCACTGGGGTGAGGCTGAAAGGCCCCAGGGCCCCCACAATTAGCCTGGACCTTTTCGGGTACCTCTAGTTCCCTCTGCAAAGAGTCCAGGAGGACCCAGAGCCCCTGCCCACCACCTCCTGCCTGGCTCTGCCCTGGGCACAACACGCTTCCACTGGGGCAGCTCACAGAAGTGTGGTCGAGACAGGACTGTTACAGCCAGGTGGAAGGGTGTGGAGACAGGAAGAGAGGTGCACTGGCAGCACACCCACACATCTCTGTCCCAAGAGGCCAACAAGGCAGCTGCCTGGGGGCAGGAGCTGCCCTGGCCCTGGAAACCTGCCCGTGGCTGGGCCCTCGGAGCAGCCGCCCTCGGTCTGCCCGGGGCGAGAGACGGCAGGTTCTTCCGCTCACGGATGCTCCACCAGGTGCTCAGGCTGCCTCGTGTCACGTGGAGCAACAGTTAGGAGCTGGATTGCGGGGTCAAGTGCCACCTCTGCTTGGGACCCCAGGCAAATGATCTAACCTCTGTGCCTCAACTCCCTCCTGTGCAAAAGTGGGACTAATAATAGACACCACACCCATGGGGCTGTTGTCAGGCATCATGGGATAAGAGGTGGTCAGCACTCAGCAATGTTGATCTCCCCGAAAGTGCTCACCAACTTTTTTTTGTGTGTGTGTGCGTGAGGAAGATCAGCCCTGAGGTAACATCCATGCTAATCCTCCTCTTTTTGCTGAGGAAGACCGGCTCTGAGCTAACATCTATTGCCAATCCTCCTCCTTTTTTTCCCCAAAGCCCCAGTAGATAGTTGTATGTCATAGTTGCACATCCTTCTAGTTGCTGTATGTGGGATGTGGCCTCAGCATGGCCTGAGAAGCGGTGCCTCGGTGCGCGCCCGGGATCCGAACCTGGGCCGCCAGTAGCGGAGCGCGCGCACTTAACCGCTAAGCCATGGGGCCGGCCCTCACCAACTCTTGACGAGACTGTCGCATTTACCCTCCAACCCCAATTATGGATGGGGAAACTGAGGCCAGTAGCTAAGCCAGGCCTCTGATAGTGGTTTCCAGACCCAGGCCCACATCTTCACAGTGTCTCTCACTGCCTGTCATGATGAGAACCTGTACCTTTAACAACCTCCAGGGGACTCCGATGAGGAGCAAGTTTGCCCTGGCCCCTTGGTGGGAGGGGGAAGGGGAGCCAGCAGGGCCCCCCGTACCTTGAGGATGGAGTTGTCCTGGCGGGTGTTCTTCGTGTCATATCCCTCCAGCAGGCAGCAGCGCACTGTGGAGCCCGAGCCTGCAAACTCGGCCAGGTTCAAGTCGGCGAAGCCCAGCTGGGAGGGATGGAGGAGAGTGTGGGAGGCTGCTGCGGGGGGTGTGCGCACAGGGCTGGCAGCACAAGGGTTAACTCCGCAGAGGTGGGAGGGGGAGGGGCAGGCAAAGCCCCTGGGCCTGCCCCACAGCCCCACAGCCCAGACTGACTGTTGCATAACCAGCACCCAAGGACAGAGGCCCCCCCAAGGACAGAGGCCCGGGTTGGCGGCTCCGATGGACGTGGCACAGCCAGGAGCTCACATCCCTGAGCAGCACAAAGCGGTCTTTGTGTCACGTCCCAGTGTGCACCGGGGCAGTGTCTGAGATGAAAGGACATTGTTGTCTGTGACACAGACACATTGTTCCCTGAGAAACAAGGCTGTGCTGTGGGAGCCGCCAGGCCAGCAGGCAGGGGGAAGCAAAGGCCCGTGGGAACTTAGTGTGGGGGTGGGTTGGGGGGGGACACTCTGCAGGGTGAGAAGGAGACCCTGGTGCAGGCTGGAGTGAGGGGCTGGTGGACTGCTCCTCAGATGCAGAGAGAGGAGCAAGGGATGGGGAGGGAAGAGGAAGAAAGTGCGAGAACAGGGTATATGGGCTAAGGAGGCCTCTTAGATGGAAGCCAAGTCTGCCAGACCTGGAGAGAAACAGGGTGAGGTGAGGGGTGCTGGGATTAAGGACTTGGGGGACAACCAAGCCAGCCAGGGATGTTTACTGGGCACCTGATACATGCAAGTCTCTACTGCAGAGCTTAGGGGCACATGTGCCAGAATCAGGGACTCAGGTTCAGATCCCAGCCCTGTGATCGACTCAGAGTGAGCCCCACTTTACAGACAAGGAAACTAAGCTTCAGAGAGGAAGTGACTTGCCCGGGGCCCCACGGAGCTTAACTGGTGGAGCCAGGCCTGAAATTAGGTCTGATCAGCATCGTCTCACCACCTCTCTGGGCCTCAGTTTCCTCTTCTGTACAATGGGAGCTCAGCCCACATGGACGTCTGATTAGAGACCAGAAGGGCCTGGCAGGTCTGACACGTGCCAGGTGCCCGAGAAATGTCTGCCAGGCAGAGATGGGATGCTCTGGCTGTTTGCTGGTAGTTTCTCCCCTGGCTGGGCAGCTGTCCACCCACGTGAATCAACGGAAGGAGAAATTTCCACTCTGATGGCACCTTCCACAGCCCACCCAGTTCCAGCCACCCTGCCCTCTGCTTTTGGAGAGGGACATCAGTGCCCCTGGCCAGGGCAGAGCGCACGGCCCAGAATGCTGAGCTTCCTGAGCTCTGGTCAGTGGGAAGGAACACGCCCTGCGCAGCACCTCCCTCGGGCCTGCGATGCAGGGTGAGGTGAGGCAAGGGCATTTCCCCTCCGGACTGACTGAGCCCACTCCCTGCCGCTGGGCCACCTCCGGGGGGTCACAGAGGGTGGGCCGCGAGTCCCCACAGAGAAGGGGGTTTAGGGCAGAGCAGCCTTATTCAAAGCCAGAGGTAACCCTTCCAGAGTCATCTTCTCCCACTTTTCCCAGTGGAAAAGGTTTTAATGCAGAGGGCTGAACTGTCTCTGGGTACAGTGAAAACCTGGCAACAACACATATGTGCAACAGCGGGGACTGGCTGAGTCACCCGTCACCCAGCCATACAACGGGACACTGCCGCTGTTAGAAAGCAAAAGAAAATTTGTGATGACATGAAAACATGCCCAAGACGTATCGGCAAGTAAAACACCAAGCTGCAGAATCTGTTTAGAACAAGTCCCTTTTGTGTATTTAAAAATCCTGTTGTCTGCACGCACACAAGGACACAGACGGGGGCTCATCTGAACTCTCTAAACCACATGCTACGTTTTATTCACTGTTCTGTGTGTATGATAGATTTCATAATATATTTTTTTTCTTAAAAGGTATGGAAAGACCCTACCGAATCCCAACAGTGGGGTCTGGGGAGGAAGCCTGGAGAGGACGAGGGATGGAAACTGTCCTTCTCACTCCATGAACTTCTGTACTATTTGTGCTGCAACAAGCATATGCTGCCTTTATAAGTGCAAAACGCAAAGACTATCAGTAAAGATATTTCCAAAAAATTATACATCTCACGTAGGGCTGAGTGTCTCCTGTTTGGGGCAGGGAGGGGGCTGGACGTTCTTCTGGGAGCTTCTCTCACGCCCATCCCACTGGCCCGTCCCACAGCCCCTTCACACAGCCCCGCTCACCTTGGAATAAGCCTTCCCGCCTTTCAGCTCCTGCACGGGGAGACAAACACAAGCAGCAGGTTGACTAGGGAATCCAAGGGACCTCATATATCTCCCCAATACTCCCGAATCTGACTGCTGGGGGAGGAGGACAAGAAAAGGGGCAGAGCAATTCACCCCATTTTCCCTGGGGGTGGGGGGCGACAAGCCAGGGGATGGGCCAAAAGCCACCGGACCAGTGGCCCCACAGACACCCCTTGGGCTCGCAGTCCCCAGCCCCAGCCAGGAGGCAGCCTCACCTTGCGCACCGACACACGGAAGATGCAGGGATCCAGCAGGCCGGTGGCTGGGTTGGCGCTCATCTTACACACGAAGGTGAACCTCTTCCGCCACCGCACGCGGTTCTCCTGTACCTCCTCCCTGCAGGTCCAATGGGACAGGTGAGCACAAGGGAACCCGGGGGACCCCGTATCAGGGCCGAGGCTTGCCTTCAGGGTGGGGGGCTCTCACTTTTCACTTTGTATCACAAAGTGACTCTATTGTCATAACAAGAATGTGCTTGTGTAAGTGTTATAAAAACAAAAAAATATGTAATAAAAAATGAAAACACAAAAGGCAGGGTAAAGTGAGGATGCGGGCAGCTGCCCCCTCCCTCGGCTCCCTCTTCCCCACTGCCCCCTCCCTCACTGGCCTCTCTTCCCTCGGTGGCCTTGGGTGGCTCCTTCTGCTGCCGTTACCTCCCACCAGCCAGGCTCCCACTAGCCATCTCGAGTGACCCTCAGAACAGTTTTCCAGGCTGGACTACCAGCCTGTTTTACAGATGAAAAGACCGAGACTAGGTAAACTGCCTAGTGTCACCCTGCCAGGAATCAGCTGGCCCTCAGCCCAGTGCTCCCTGGCTCCAGAACACCCTTCTTCACCACTAATAACAACAATGACAATAATAATAATAATAATGGCCAACGCTCATGTGGCACTTTCCATGTGCCAGGCACCACTCAAAGCACTTTACAAAACCAGCCGCCCCAGAGCCTGCTCCAAGTGCCAGCGATCTGTGCTCACGCCAACCCTTCCAACAACAACCATCTGGGGCAGCTACAATCATTAGCCCAATCCCTCATTCAAAGAAACCGGGAGCTCTGGGGCTAAGACCCTGGCCTGAGGTTCACCACGGGTACAGCAAACAGGAACCCGAACCCAAGGAGCCTGGCTCTGGGGGCCACAGACTTAACCCTCCCCACTCCAGGGCTTAGACACCAACCTGGGGTCCTCAGCTTCCCAGACACTAACTGGGGGGCTGGCCTTCCAGTCCCTTGAGCTCCTCCTGGGCCTGGGGAGCATGACCAAGCCCAAATCTTCAGCACCCCCTTCACAGGGCAGCAGTCTGTGCCCTGGGAGTGAGTGGGAGCCAGTGAGAGGAGCTCATCCAAGCCTCTCCCAGCTGCTGTGGGAGCCTCAGCAGGACCTGGGGGTGGCAGAGACGAGTTCCTCATCCCTGCACAGCTCTCCATCCCCCCACAGCCTGCCGGGCAGAACCGGGGCTCAGGAAGGGGTGGCCACAGAAGGGAGGGGCCAGCGTGAGAGACATTATCTCCAGCCTCATCCCACCTAACAGGAACGGCCAAGCGGACAGCTGGGGAAGTGACCCCTCCACACCCTGGGAACCTGTGGAGCTCAGGTTAACCCTGGGGACCTGTGGAGCTCAGGTTAACCGCCAGACTGGGGCCTGAGGGTGAAGTCAGGGCAGGCCGAGCATCTCCTGAATACAGCTGTCTGCTTCTCACGGCAACCTCAGAAGGTGGGCCCTGCACCCCTCTCTCCTATAGCTGCGGGCGCTGAGGCTCAGGAGACTGCCCAAGGCCACATCCCCAGCGACTCACACAGCAGGATATGAACCCAGAACTGTCAGACTGCAGAGTCAGAGCACTCAGCCATCACCTTGGTCCACAGGCCACAGAGCCCTGGAAAGCCTGGCAGGCAGAACCCACTGGGCCTGTGGGGTCAGCAGTGCCCTGCTGTGTACCTGAGGCACCCACCCATGTCTCTGAATGCCAAGTATGTGCCAGGCACTGCTGTGGACTTTATTCACAGACTGACGTTTGACAGTCACTCCTGTGATGACTCAGTGTCACCAGGAGAGGGTGGGGGAAAGCGGTGAGTCAGGGAAGGTGACTAGCCACAGGGAGGTAACATTCAAGCTCAGACCCAACTAAAGAGTGGGGAGTAGCCAGTGGGGGGCCAGTTCCAGGCAGAGGGAACAGCACAAGCAAGGAGCAAATGTACTCTCCGTTTAATCAGCCCATGAAAGCCCCCGAGCCGAGCCTCTACGAGGAGCTCCCTCCCGGCTCCACGAGGCTTTGAGGACATAACCAAGGCTTCTCCCACATCCTGCTTGACAAGGGGTAACAGGACTCAGGTGAAGCAGACCTGGGCTCAGAGCCCTCACACTCACTGTGCGACTTGGGCTGGGGCTTGATCTCTCCATCTTCATGGGTACAACGGGCACCCCACCCACTCACTCGGGGCACCTGGGAGCATTCAGGGAGCAAGCCCGCCCAGGGCCTGTCCTGGAGCGCTCCGTGAGATGTCTCGTCTGATGACGACACTGGGGATCTAGAGGGACTCAGTCACCACAATGCTCTGACCTTTTCAGGAAGGTGAGCTCCAGCAACGTCCCACAGCCCCAAGACTGGGGACAAGCAGAAGAGGTCAGGGCTAGAGACAAGGGGGAGGAAGGGAGAGTCCCCAACCCCTGGCAGACATGGGCAGGGACCCTCAGGCAGCAGGTGGCACGGCAAGAGCGGGAGCTCTGGGCTGGGGCATCACCTGACCCGGTCATGCCGGGTCCACCCATTCGTTCATTCATTCGAAGAACTGAGTGCCAGCTGTGTGCCAGTCCCTGCGCCACGCCCTGGGCCCACAGCAGTGACCAGCTTAACATTCTGGTAGGAGGAGAAAGATGAGGCTCAAACAAATGAGAAAAACACATGGTAGTGGAAAGGAAGAAACAAAACTATTGCTATTGGCAAATGACTTGATCTCATATGTAGAAAATCCTAAGGCATCCACCAAAAAACTATTAGAATACACAGGTTCAGCAAGGTTGCAGATCAACATACAAAGATTAACACACAAAAATCAATTCTTACTATACAGTCACGTGCTGCATAACAACATTTTGGCCAACGACAGACCACATATACAACAGTGGTCCCATAAGATGCAGCCCAGGTGTCTACTAGGCTTTGCCATCTAGGTTTGTGTAAGTCACTCTATGATGCTCGTACAACGACGAAATTGCCTAACGACACATCTCTCAGAACGTGTCCCCGTCCTTGAGCGACATGTGACCGTATAGTGAAAACCCACAACGAAATGAAGAAACAATTCAATTTACAATAGTACCAAAAAGAATAAAATATGCAGGAATAAATTCAACAAAGGAAGTACAAAACATATACTCTGGAAAACTTATAAAACATTGTTGAAAGAAATTCAAGATTTAAATCAATGGAAAGATATTCCATGGCCATGGTTCAAAAGATTTAATATTGTTAAGATGACAATACTCCCAAATTGATCTAAAAATTCGACACAACCCCTATCAAAATCTCAGCCGCTTTCTTTACAGAAATTTGACAAGTTGATCCTAAACCTTACAAATTCAAGGGACCAGAACAATCAAAACAATCTAGAAAAAGTAGAACATAATTAACAGATTCATACATCTTGATCGCAAAACTTCTACAAAGCTACAATAATCAAGAAACTGTGGTTCTGGCATAAGGACAGACACACAGATCAATGGAATAGAATTGAGAGTCTGGGGCCGGCCCCGTGGCTAGTGGTTAAGTGCGCGCGCTCCGCTACTGGCAGCCCGGGTTCGGATCCCGGGCGCGCACCGACGCACCACTTGTCCAGCCATGCTGAGGCCGTGTCCCACATACAGCAACTAGAACGATGTGCAGCTATGACATACAACTATCTACTGGGGTTTTGGGGAAAAAAAGCAGGAGGATTGGCAATAGATGTTAGCTCAGAGCCGGTCTTCCTCAGCAAAAAGAGGAGGATTAGCATGGATGTTAGCTTAGGACTGATCTTCCTCACAAAAAAAAAAAAAGGGCAGGGGCTGGCCCGGTGGTGTAGCAGTTAAGTTCGCACGCTCTACTTCAGCAGCCCAGGGTTTGGATCCTGAGCGCAGACCTACTCACCACTCATCAAACCATGCTGAGGCGGCGTCCCATATAGAGCAACTAGAAAGATGTACAACTATGACAGGCAACTATCTACTGGGGCTTTGGGGAGAAAAAAAAAAAGGAGAAAAGGAGGAAGACTGGCAACAGATGTTAGCTCAGGGCCAATCTTCCTCATAAAAGAGAGCAAATGATCTGAATAGACATTTCTCCAAAGAAAACATACAAATGGCCAATAAGCACATGAGAAGATGCTCAACATCCTTAGCTGTCAGGGAAACACAAACCAAAACTATAATTCACACCCACTAGGATGGCTATAATCAAGACAGCTAATAACAAGGGTTGGTGAGGATGTAGAGAAATTGGAACCCTCACGCACGGCTGGTAGGAATGTAAAATGGTATGGCCGCTTTGGAAAACAGTCTAGCAGTTCTTCAAAAGGTTAAACATAGAGTTACAATATGATTCAGCAATTCTACTCCGAGGTACATATCAAAGAGAAATCAAACATAGGTGCACACAAAAACTTGTAGACAAATGTATACAGCAGCATTATTCATAATAGCCAAAAAGTGAAAGCAACTCAGAAGTCCATCAACTGACAAATGGATACAGCAAATGTGGTATATCCATATAATGGAATATTATTCGACAATCAGAAGAAACTAAGCACTTACTGTATACATGCTATGATGTGAATTAACTTTGAAAATCTTATACTAAGTGAAAGAAGCCAGTCACAAAGAACTACATATTGTATGATTCCATTTATATGAAATGTCCAACAGGCAAATCCATAAGAGAGAGAAAGACTGGTGATTGCCAGGGGATGGTGGAGTTGGGAGAAAATGGGGAATGACTGCTAATGGGAATGGAGTTTCTTTTTGGGGTGATGAAAATGTTCTAAAATTGATTATGTGATGGTTGCATCACTCTGTGAATATACTAAAAACCACTGAATTGTATACTTTAAATGGGGGAATTGTGCAGGACGTGAATTACATCTCAATAAAACTGTTACCCCCCCCCAAAAAAAATTCCATAGTAGATCAGATAGAGAGAAAAATGAAAAAAACAGAGCAGGGAAGGTGGGTAGGGAGTGCTGGGTAGAGATGAGAAGGTGGGGGCTGCTACTTTGGGCGGGGGGAAAAGGAAAGCCTTTATGGTAGTGACATCTGAGCAAGGCCTGGAGTGAAGTGGGGATTCGAGCTGAGCAAAGACTGG